GCTGGATCTGGCAACATTTAGATGCTCATACATAGTTCTCTCTTGGCATGGCAGATTATAATTGTTGAAATTTATGGTCTTAAACCCGGTGTGAAACCGGTGAAAACTGAGGATGCACACCTGCAGCGAGTGCAAGAGAGTGTATTTATAGTGACAAGGAAGTGGACGCAACTAAAAATAACCGCGACCCAAGAGCCGGTTCGTCGCACGATGGAACGAGTCGATGAGGAAAGTCTGACAAATTTTAGAACCTTTAAAATATTTTAACTCCGTGAATACATGGCGTCAAGGTTTTGAGAAAATATTGATTTTCTCGAAAAAACTCCCTCAGCAGAAGCACCCCTTGGGATTTCAAATGTGATGGAATTATCATCGAAATTCGCAGTATGTTAGCCAAAAAATTCATTCCCAACCTCTGGCAAAGGCTTGATCCCCTGTGCGGCGGTTGGTTCGGGCCACTCGGAAAATCCTACCGTTCGTCGCACATTAAATCGAGTTAATAGGATAGCTCGGACAAAATTCGAAAACTTCAAACGCTTATAACTCCATGTATACAAAACTTTGAGGTTCTTAAAGAGGTTCCGTTGTTTTTCTCGTGAAATTTTCTTCCAAAAACACCCCTTAAATTCAATTTAACATCAAAATTTAGTGAAAAATTTCATGTCTGACCTCTCTAATTGACTCGTCCCACTGTGCGTCGTCGGGGACACCATGGCAAGTTGTCGACGGCCACCGGCCAGCTGGATGAGGACTGGGCGCATGATTTAAAATTCAAATGAGCACCGTATCGGATTGCGGATCATGCAATGAGTTTCGCTTTTCATAGCCGCCGTGTTATGAATGGATAGGCTTAGCATCTATATTCCCACTTTTCAGGGGATAAATTTCACCGGCCACCCGATTTTCATCATTCCCACCTTTACGCTTGCGCATTCCACTCACCATCTCAATTTCTCTCGTGAGCCTGATTTCACATATAAATCCATGCTCTCTGGGGCTCATGTGGGAATCGAGATAGGCCTTTTCGCCAGAGGAGCGATGTTATTAACGGTCCTCGCCGTGCTTGCGCGAAACATTTTCACTGTTTAACGATGATAGAAATGGTGGATCAACTTCAACATTAGGTAGAGATGTTATAGTCTTAAGCTGAAGATTCAGAGATCTTATCAAGGACAAAACTGGCTGAAAAACTGGAAAATACTGGGGTTACACTTGTCATGCTCAGAAAAAATAATGTCAGCGGTTACCAGATTCCTGATTGCTTATGGTCACCTCGAACTCTCTAGTGCTACATTTCTTACCGTGCTTTCTTGACGCGGCTGGTGAACGTAACGAAATGCGAGATTAACACTAGCGGAAATCTAACACTCGTTTTCACCCAAGTAGCACAGTGCAACGAAAATATTGAAATCGAATAGTGATTTGATGCAATAAAATTGCAATTTTTTACCATAATTTTTCAATATTTATGCATCATTTGGTTACTTAATGCCGGTTTTACGCAATCGTCAAAATGAGTTTCATGAGTGAGAAAGGAGACAATTAACAACTTATTTCAACTTTAGTGCAATTTTTAATAATATATGAGCCCCTTCAATTGGCAAATAGACAACATAGACGACACTTCCGTGCAATACCTAGCAATAATCTTGCCATGTAATCGCGATTTGTTGTAACCTTGACTACTGAGGTAGGTTTCCTGAGGATCATACGATCAAGAATCTGGTAACTAATAATACTCTTTTTTATTTGTGTGCATTATCTGAAATTGCACTCCTACTCCCTCACACAAATCATTTAAATGAAAGTTATATTTTGTGTATTTTAAGAGAATTTTCTGTTGACGATATTTATTAACTTGTTCAGTATAGATCATGATTGATGATGATCCTATGCGAATAGGCTCTTTCATAAAAGAGCCAAAAATATCAGCTCCTCATTGCAATATCGAGGGTATAGGAGCAATACCACTTACTGACAATTTTGACAAAAATGATTTGGCGACTTTGCTCCACTCTAAAGTATAAAATACGCAGGCTGTTGTTAATGACTTTTTCCAATTTTGCATGAAAGTGTTGTAATGAAGCTGCAATTTATTTATTCTCGTAAAAATTGGCGATAGGAGCTGCGTTTCAAAATACCATAGAAATTCTTAAAGCCGGCTAAAGACGGCAATAGAAAATCATATAGCTGGCTGTAGAAAGCGGAGCAAATCATATAGCCGGGCTATACGAAGCGATTAAAAAGGATACAGCCGGGCTAGGTATAGTTCCTATCGCCGGGCTTTACACTTTATCGCCATCGGCTATAAAAGGCTTTAAGAAATTGTCTAGAAATTCGTGTGCTTTGGAAAACATTAAGTTTGATACGGAACCACCATAATATTTACAATACACACATTATATTTTCCTGTAATACATATTTTTTTCATCAATTAAAATGAGAATAATCCATACAGGATGTGCAAACATTTCAAAATCATGAGTTGAAAACCGATGACTCCGCGAGATTATGTATTGGAGCCTAACACAGAGCGGAGCGGCGCGCAGCGTGCTGCCAGTGATAAGCGCGCACTAGCGCCTACAAACCTAACAGGGATACTTCACGCATTGCGCAATGCGTGAAGTATCCCTGTTAGGTTTGTAGGCGCTAATGCGCTTTTCGCGCTGGCTGCCCGCCCGCCGCGCCGCAGCGTGCCACGGCTCTTGAAGCAACTATTTCACACCAGAGGTATTGCACAGTATCATACGAAATTGAAAGCGCTCCAACATATTAGGAATGGCAGGCATTCTCCAAAAGTACGGAGCTTTCCGCGCAAAATCAATCAAGATACTACGGCCAAAAAATAGAGCGGTAGTCCAAAAATTCACTAAGTCTTAGCATCCGTAATTAGTAACATTTATCCTACACTTTATCGCCTGGCTATTGCTTAATCGCCATCGGCTATAAAAGGCTATAAGAAATTGTGCAGCCGGCTATAGAAGCTATTGAAAATCTTACAGCCGGCTTTTGGTCTATGGTATTTTGGAACACAGATTCTACCGCCAATTTTTACCAGGGAAAAATAGTAATTAATAAGTCAGAATTTTGTAGCCAAAGTGCGTTAAAAATCAACATAAAGCTGAAAATCTGAGTGCAGAGGGAAAGAAGCTCATGTGAGCACGATTTTCCCTCATAGAGATACGCTATTTGGTGAAAGACTAGTAACGACCATTCAGGAACCTATCCTATTCAACGCACGTTGGCTCAACAATTCCAACTTACTGTCTTATGACTCGTGCGTCTACTGCAATCAGATTGTGTTAACAAATAATGCAATCCTAACTTTATAATCACAAGAATAGCGAAGTTTTTTCTTCGTCCTATGACCATATATGCCCAAAACTATTTTTTTTTTAAAATTTACTTTTTATTTACTTGTTGTTTTTGACGTTATGTCGACAGGGTAAACAGGTGTTGAGGTACAACAAAAATAAAATACGCTTGGCTATATCCTTGACATGGATTATCCTGTGTTGAGCACATGAAATTCCCTAATTTACACTAACACTAAAAGTAAAAAAGTGCGATGGGTCGTTAACGATCCAATGGGCATATATGGGAAATGGTCAGTTTGCAGACAGGCGATGTTGCTCCTCAGCAATCTATATGGTGTCCATTTTTCACTGGAAAAAAAAAACACATTGGATCTAGAGTCCAGACTCTTGAATACATCGAAAAGAAAAAAAAACTCTTGATTCAATCAGATTTAAGCTTAAATCAAGAGCCAAGCCTCTTAATTTGAGCGGATCTCCTATTGATTTAAGCATACATATGATTGAATCTAGAGTCCTTTTTCTTGTCAATGTTTTCAAGAGTCTGGACTCTAGATCCAATGTGTTTTTTCCAGTGTTGAGGGAGGAGTATTTGCTCCGACATTGAAACGACTAAAAGAACATCCCTTTTTCGTTACAGTTATGGTTCCTGTTCCCGCTGATGGGTCTGACGCTGGCCGGAGAGGTGGCGGTGCCCATCTCCGAGCAGGCCGTCGTCAAATCGGACCGAGTCGGCAATAACTTCGCCTACTCCATCCGCCACGAACAGCGCTCTGTCATTCCCGCCTCCCCCGCGCCTGTCGCCGTCCCGCTCTCCGCTCACCCCGTCAACGTCCCCAACGTCTTCCCTGCCGCCGTGGGGTCCTCTTCATCCTCATCTTCCGCCTCATCCTCCGGCGGGTCCGCCGTCCACCAGTTCAAGAGCGCCTCCTCCAGCAGCAGCGCTGTCTCCAGCGCCTCCAGCACGCAGCAGCAGCAAGCGCACCAACAGGCTGAGCTGTCCCGCGTGCAGCAGCAGCAGGAGCAAGCCCGGAGTCAGTTGATACAGCAACAGCAACAGGAGCAGGCCCGGACCCAGCTGATACAGCAGCAGGCGCACCAGCAGGCTGAGCTGTCCCGCGTGCAGCAGCAACAGGAGCAGGCCAGGAACCAGCTGATTCAACAGCACCAACAGCAGGAGTTGTCCCGCGTTCAGCACGAGCAACAGCAACTCCACGAGCAGCAGCAGCACCTGGCCAGGCAGCAACATGACCAGCAAGTGAGCCATCAGCAACATCAACAGGAGCAGATCAGGCGGCAGCACGACCAGCAGGTTAGTCACCAGCAACACCAGGAGCTCCAGCGTCAGCAGCAGCAGCAGGTCCAGCAAGTTCAGCAAGTACAGCAACATCAGCAGCAACAGCATGATCAACAAAGTAAGTATTACGACTGATCTCTTATTGCGCCGAATAAGCCTTATGCCTTTACGTATCTTAATCAGCTTGTGTCTTGGTGATCTAAATATACCTGCACTTTACCATGGAATTGCAATATTTGTACACCACTCGGTCAGTAAAAGCGGATTGTAGACGATAAATGAGATGAGCTCTACGTGTCAGAGAGATAGGCAATTTGCAATGCGAAAAAAAAAATTTAATTTATTTCATGTTTCGGTAATGCAAAAAAATTTCAATGAGAGGTGTCCCCTCAACCATGGCAGATGGGCAACATACACAATACGAGGGCCGGATTTACCTTCTTACCGCCCATGGGCCGCCTGTATTTTGCCGCCCCTTCTCATTCGTTTTGAAACATCCATGCAAACCATCAAGTGAACGTGCCGGAGGAGGAGGAGTACATGAGACGCGTTTACTCGCGTTGGGCCCATTTTTTGTGAAAGCCCTGTCAACACTGGCAAAAGTTCACGGAACTTTGCGCGAAAATTCCGTGTTCCGTGTTCCGTGGACCTATCTCTGTGTGGACGATGCCTTTCATTTATAAGAAAAGAACGAAAAAATTATGAATAAGAATAAACATGAATGTATTCTAATGATTTTAATTTCCGCCACCGCGCCAACCGCACTGTGTTTGGCACCGCGCAATGCGTGAAGTATCCTTACAGTCTTGTAGGCGCTATGCGTTTCACGCTGACCGCTGCTGACCGAGTGACCGCACTGTTTTTGACGCAATGCTTGAAGTATTCATGCAGTCTTGTAGGCACTATGAGTTTCACGCCAACCGCACTACGTTTGACGCAATGCGTGAAGTATTCATGGAGTCGTGTAGGCGCTAATGTGTGTTTCATGCTAACCGGTGCCCCGATAGGACTTCTCCTTTCCATCTCAAGTTCTCGTCGTCATTGCTCTTTGCGCCGCGCCGCTCCAGGCCAAATTGCGTGTTTGGTTTCTCTCTCAACTAGACTAATGAAAGGCCCTGTCTCTCATCACCGAAAGACGAACAAATTAGAAATTACTACACTTTAACTCTCAGGAAATGAGAGATTTTTTCGCCTTTTCTCATTTGTAATTTTTTTTCTGAATCAGATTTTTTTCTTGACACCTACATTTGAAGAAATTACAACATTTGCCGCCATAGGCCGCGGCCCATGTGTCCACCCCCTAAATCCGGCCCCGCACAATACTCTGGCGCAGTAGCAAAAATTTTACTACCTATGTGCGTAATTGCAAGTAATCGCAATCTGGTGCTACTTGGGCCCTAGACAATCGTTGTTTGAGATCATCAAACTCGCGTCGCCTAGCCGAAAATCAAACTCGGCTCCTCTTGATCATAGAGACAGCGCCACGATCGCATGACACCACAGGAGGCCAACATTTTTTTTTCAACAGTAATTGTTTTGCGAATTTCAGCGTTTTCCAGTAATAACCTTCACTGGGGAAAAAAACACATTGGATCTAGAGTCCAGACTCTTGAAAACATTGACAAGAAAAAATACTCTTGATTGAATCAAATTTTTGCTTAAATCAAAATGAAATCCGCTCAAATTAAGAGGCTCGGTTCTTGATTTAAACTTTAATCTGATTGAATCAAGAGTATTATTTCTTGTCGATGTTTTTAAGAGTCTGGACTCTAGATCCAATGTGTTTTTTTTTTTCCAGCGATTTACACTGTACGATAGCTGTGCGGACTCCGTTTCCGTCGCTTCTCTGGCGTGAGGGCATACCTCATTTACCACGTGAGCTCTGTTCTCCGTATTAGCCTATGTTTTCCGCGGCTCATTTGGAAATAGAGATACGCCCTTACGTCAGAGGAGCGACGTTATATTGTATCTGATCGAGCATTCCAAGTTCTAAAAAGCTAAAAAAAACCGCATATTCCATTGCAGGTTCCTCGGCCGTCAGCAGCGCCTCCGGATCCTCGGGCGTGAGCAGCGGCAGCTCCCTGGTGCAAGCCGCCCCCGCGGCCATCGCTCCCCCGGTGCTCTACCAACCCCTGGCTCTCCAGCCGGCCGCCAGCGTGGAGGTCCTCCAGACGCCGGCCGCCACCGCCGCCGCCCTCCCCGTCTACCCGCCCTACGCGCCCTACGCCCCAGCCCCCGCGGACGTCTACTCGCACCCACCCGCCGCCGTGGGGCTCTTCCACTACCCGGCCGCCCCCCAGACCGCCCTCGTCCAGGGCACCGCCACCGAGGTCGTCCGCGACACCGCTAAGGTCGTCCACCAGCCGCCCACCCTCTTCTTCACCCAGGTCGCCCCTGCTCCGGAGCCCCAGCCCGCCTACGCCGTCTACTCTACCGAGGTACCGCATTCTTGTGATGGACTCCATGATAAGGTGAGAGATTAAACGCCATGATACATGTTTTCTTGTCAACATTCGGACGTGTTTCAATCAAAAGGAAGTATACCCATTCTGTCTTATGCCCTGAGATTCATAAGAATACATGCATGGCAGGGCTCATGTCATAATGGATATAGCTCCCTCTGATTTAAATACGTCCATTTCGTGTGGAGTATGCTGTACACGTTGGACATATCCAAATTCGACTCGAGTGAAAGATAGCAGCGTTTTTATGTTTGACAGCGGCTATAGCGGGCTGATTTTTGAAACTGATAGACAAAGCTATATAAAAGAAGGCAAAGAGAAAAAGGTCGCTGTACACGTTGGATATTTCCAAATTCGACCCGAGTGAAAGATAGGAGCGTTTTTATGTTTAACAGCGGCTATAGCGGGCTGATTTTTGAAACTGATAGACAAAGCTATAAAAAAGAAGGCAAAGAGAAAAATGTCGATCCTTTTGGTCAAAACCGGTGGTAAAATTTAAGGGGTAAAATGATAGACCGGCTACAGAGCCTTCCGTGGGTTGCCATTAGTTGGTCTATTATTCAACTCCTTCGTCTATTGCAATCACCCGTTTCCACCGATAGAAACGCTCCATTTCCTCTTTGTCTTCTTTGTTTATCTCTTTGCCTATCAAATTCAACAATCAGCCCGGAGTAGACAAGATGTAAAATAAAGCACAACGTTATATGTTTCCTCTTCAATATTTTACGGAGAAATCGATTTAGGCGACTGGAAGTTCAGAAATCAGCTTCAAGCGAGGTGTTAACAAGTGCACGTACGAATAAAATGGAACATAAATTGCACATCCTGTCGCGTCATTTGTGTTTTTGTCATTCAACTATTGACACTAAAAAAAAAATGTTCATCATCTTGTGCTAATCCTAAAGTCAACAAAAAACGCTGATTACTCTCGTATGAAAATATTCTGGGCATTTTTGATACGTTCAACGTGTTCTGCGTCTAATATTGGTGGGAAAACATGTATTATGGTAGCTGAATTCTTACCTTGTCTATTGGTCAATTATTCTGTAGTGCTATCTAACAGCAACGATGGATTGCAGTAGAATTTCTCATGCAGTAACATTCCCGTCCTATTAGTTCCTTTCTGCAGACTGCAGTTCATTTCTCCTTCAATTTTCGAAGTAGGCCAGACAATATCCTCCATACGGCAATACTTACATACTAGCTATTTTGTACATAGTTTCCCTTCTGTTGTCTGCAAATCCTGTCTCTTAGGGAACCATGTAAAATTCCAACCCGTCGATTTTGCGATGTATTCCTCTGTCTTTTGACTGCATTATTGATGATAGTTACTGTAACATGTAAAAGCACTAATTCACCCTCACATTTTTTTGAGACACCAACTCCCTTCGGAAATAAATTCACCGGGAGTGTCATTGAAGTGAAACCACCCTTCCCAAAACAAGACTTCAACACTGGAAAAAAGAAAAAAAAAAAAAAACACATTGGATCTAAAGTCCAGACTCTTGAAAACATTGACAAGAAAAAATACTCTTGATTCAATCGGATTTTTGCGGATCAAAACGAAATCCCGTTAAATTAAGAGGCTTGGTTCTTGATTTAAGCTAGATTCTGGTTGAATTAAGAGTACTTTTTCTTGTCGATGTTTTTTAGAGTCTAGACTGTATGTCCAATTTGTGTTTTTTTTTTTTCCAGTGAATGCTCTGGTATTAAAAATTAACCCATTGACATTTCCTCTTTTCTCAGGTGACCCGTCCCGAGGCCCTGAAGCTCATCGACGCCTCCGGCCTTAGGTGGTCCGAGTTTCCCACCCAAAAATGGGCCGAGCTCCCCGCTCAGAAGTGGGCCGACGCTACCGCCCTCAAGTGGAACCAACAGAAGTACGCCGCCGACACCTCCTCGCCCCTCCGCTTCGGTTTCGCCGAGCCCGCCCCCGCCAAGTACGTCAACGACGCCTCCAGCTCCAGCTCCAAGTACGCCGCCTCCGACGCCTCCAGCTCCAGCTCCAAGTACGCCGCCTCCGACGCCTCCAGCGCTAGCTCCAAGTACGCCGCCTCCGACGCCTCCAGCTCCAGCTCCAAGTACGCCGCCTCCGACGCCTCCAAGTACTCTTCAGCCTCTACCGCTTCCACCTCCGGGTCCGGCGTGTCCGCTTCCGGCGTAGCCTCTTCCGGTCTGGACGCCGTCGTGGTGGACAACAAGCTGGCCGACGCCAGGGTCGGGAACGTAGGCCACGTCTCCAACTCCTACGTCAAGTCGGAATCGGGCAGCCAGGAGGCCGCGTCCTCCGAGGCTACGTCACGGAGGGTATACTCGGCGGCGCCGGCTTACTACCAACAGGCGTTCTACGACTCCGGCCCGCGGCAATACTACTCCACCGGGCTCGTCTCAGAGCCGCAGTTCTACGCAGCGCGGATCTCCCACCAGCCGATCTACAGCCCAGTTCCCGTCCAGCAGGCGCTGATTCCCGACTACGCGGCCCAGCTGCGCGGCATCCCGGTCCCCGCCGCCGCTGCCCAGGTCCGCTACGCCGCCGCCAGGCAGCCAGTCTACGTCACCGGCGTCCACCAGGCCTCCGGACAGTCCACCTCCCACGAGGCCCACTCTGAGGCTCACACCAAGACTGTCTATTAATCGGAATGCCAGCGCCCTTTCATGACTACCCAAGTAGCATTTCTCAACGGTTAAATCGCGATATTTTATAATTAAGTTGCGATTTTTTTACAATTTTTGGCAATAAATCGCGAAGACGTCATCAACATCTGAGTCATTATCCTCGATGCCCTCGATCTTGTCGCAATTTTATCTCTATGAAATCGCGTTCCATAAGCTTGAAATTTTATCTCAATTTATCACAATTGTTTGCTCGATAATATTGCGATGAATCGCCGTCGATAAAATCACGATTGCATTGCAAATTCGTGCCATGAAAGTGCAATTTATCGCAATTTTATATTCGACACTCTTGCAATAAATAGATGAAATTGAGGTACGTTGTCCGGTTAAATCGCAACTCATCGCGATCACTGCCACTTGGGTATCTCATGGAACTGCTAAAAAATGTCAACGTAAGGCAAATTTAACACGAGAAAAAAAAAAGAAAATAAATAAAATGAAGTAAGAGAGAAGTATCGAAGGCCTCGCTCGAAAACATCTCAGTTGTGGTGTTTTAAAATGTCCGCTCATGGTTTCATGTTTTTGATGAGGAGCGAGCCAACTGCACCTATACTGAAAAATTTATTTTTGAGAAAGCTGAGCAGTAAAATTATAATCAGTTGATGACTTTTATTATAGGTGCCTAAGTGCAGTTGTTTCTAGGAAATATCTTGCCATTTTTTCTAAACGTATTGGTTAATATTATTTTTTAGCGTTACAATTTAGAATTAAATGAGAGGACTCAAAGACTAAAATCTGTTACTAAGGTAGTGTAGGAATACCTAGTTTCGTTGATGGAACATTTATTCTTCTTTCACGAAAAGATAAAGACTGAAAAATTAACATTTCCTGATTCAATAAAAAATGGTCTGCTTAAGTTCAATGTAAATTATTTCGCTCTTAATTTCAAATGGTCATATTCATGTCTAATATTAGGTTGTAGAAAGCCGATCAAGAAATACATTTCCTAGTAAATTTTAAATTTACCTAGATGTACCTAAATTGATGGAGTCCTAAAATTAGATTTAGTGATTATTTTAAATTTTAGAGTCTATGCATATATTATTGAACTGATACCATTGGCAGAATAACATTTTGGGGAAAAATTAACTGTGTAAACACAGTTAACACAGTTTAATGAAACTAATATTTACTGCATTCCCTCATGTTCCAACCGTTAAACGCTTGAGAAGGTTCCTGAAAATGGTTCTGAAATTTCTTCATTAAAATGAAGGGTTAGGGGGTTGCACATTGAAAAAGAAAGTTACTGTATCCACTATTTCTTCTAAAAAAAATTTTGGTTCTTTTAATATTTATTTTCCAACCTTTCCTCTAGCAATAAATGCTGCGTTGCATAATGTTAATCACTGAATCAATTACCCACTTTCTATCGGCAAAAAATGATCAAACTTAACTCTATTTTTATTTTACAAAGGGGCGAGGACAAATCGTCAAAATTTCGTATCCCTTGCATTTTGGCAAGAAAGTTTAATTTGAAAGGTAAATATTCCGCTAATTTAAGAGACTGCCATCAATTTTGTTTAAAATGAGTGCAATTTTAAGTGCAATATTTTTCTCTTTTTTCTAAGTATATACTATTGTATTTTTATAGATAGCAAAAAAACTTCTGCACACACGTGTACTATGCTATGCATATTTGTACATAGTAAAGCTGACAGATTGATATACAATTCAAGAAGTGCCTTATTATTTTTGCGCAAAACTTTTCTTAGAAGCCCTAAAGCAATTTGGTAAACAAACATTGTAAATTTGATTACCTATGAATATTAAAAGTTTATACATACATATAAGTCGATAACATTCTGGTGCGAAATAGAACATGAAAGATGGTATGAAGATTTCCGTCTTAAGTTATTCATAAAAGATGCATAAATTATGCATGAATTCATATTGAGCATGGAAAGTGGAATTCGCGCGGAAAATTACGAAAATGTCACTGGCTTGTCGAGTCCTCGGCAGGTGCGAGTTTATCCAAAGCTGACATCGCTCAATTTAAGTACAATTTCAATCTTTCACACTTTCACAGTCACCATGAGTAAAGGCCACCATTTGATAATATCTGATCTGCTGCGAGTTGATCATTGAAATTTATAGAAAAAGCCATAAACAAAGGAGACAAAGAGGAAATGGAGTAATCCTATTTGTAAAAGCAGGTGGTTGCAATGGACGAACGAGGTAACTAACTAACTATAACTAACTATGGTACCACACGGAGAACCCAATAGTTCGTCCATAATTCGTCGTCTCCCGGATGAAGGAACGTAAACCCATTCCAAGGTTCTTAAATCGACTCAAACAATTAATTTATTTTACAAAAATGTACCAGTGTAATTTTTATCCAACATATTTCTGGTTTTTGCATAAAATCTGAGAACAAATCAGAACATTTTCAGTTAGAACTGCCCAAGAATCTCCTGATTAATATCCAATTTGCGACGGGAAATTAAGTTACGTTTTTTCGTGAGGGTAACGACGAATTGTTCCCTTTAGTCGGTAACAACCACCCGTTCCAAACAGGATCGCTCGATGTGCCCTTTGTCTTCTTTTGTCCATAGCTTTGTCTATCACTTTCAATAATCAACCCTCAGTACCCATGAAAATACTCTTTGCTTGACTCACAGCGTATACACTATACATATATTGTACACCTGATTACGCTGCTAATGCACACCGAGAAAAAAAGATTGGTAGAATTTACCATTCCCTCACGCTGTATTTTACACAGCGTGAATCCAAAGTTGATTCTGCCAGAGAAATTGTTACCTGTACCAGTATATAGTAACGTTTACCTTTTTTTTTTTTTTTTTTTTTTTTTTTTTTTTTTTTTTTTTTTTTTTTTTTTTTTTTTGCAGAATTGACTGTGAATTAATGCTATGTGAAATACAGCATGAAGGAATGGTAAGGTCTACCAATATTTTTTTCTCGGTGCAGTAGGCAGTAGTTTCTGCACGAGTAGAACGAATGCGCACAACGTTTCCAAGAGAACCAAAGTAAAAGACAAAAGTGTTAAGTTCATAACTTTTTATGTTTTTTTGCCGAACTTTTTTTAATATGTGAACGTTTCCTTGATAAGGGATCTCCGTGCACGCAAGCAAATTTATAAAGGCGCAAGTTCTGTCAAGTCTGCTTGAAAAGTCGGAATTTGAGTTTTGAAAAAGCAGAGGTTGCAAAATTTGAAATTTTTTACCAGAAGAAAAGCAAGTATATGTGAGTCCATTGATGCGTCATACAATTGCCGTGAAAAGGCAAAAAAAACCAAACTAAAAAGACGGACATAAATTTGCATGTTTAACTTTAGATTTTGACAAAAAAACACGAAAGAGTGCTTTGCTGGGCTGATTTATATTTAGTTGCATTTGGAGAAATAATATCGACGAAATTCATGAAAAGATGGGAAAATGACTTTCACTGATGCAGAGTTCTTCATATCACTTAAAGAGTTTTGGAAATTGAAATCATGCATTAATTTGCATGAAATCAACACACATTCCCCATTCACTTCTACACTTGACGGGGCAGTCGAAAACATCAATTGACATTATACACCGACCTTCTAGCCTACCTATTCATGATCACTGGCAGATTTCATTGTCCCCAACGTGACTCTTGGTACTGGTGTTCTCTTTATCCGGGGAAATACGGATCCATTGTACAATTGGATGCATAATAACTTTTTAGATTCAAACGAAAGTCCAAAATTGCCATAAACAAAGTTTAAAAAGAAAAAATCAAATAAATTCAAAATCAAAGTACGTAGTAATGCTAAAAATAAAAAAAAATGGCAACTACAAGGACAAGACAAAGAAACAAAGAGATTGTACTTATTGGTTATTTGATTCAAAATTATCATCATACCTCAATCTCCTCATAGCTAGAAAATTGAATAGAAATAATTAGAGTTGATGTCAAGCTAAAAAATAATTTGTAAAACTGTTCTGCTAAAGAAAGAAAGAAATGAATGAATAAAGAAGAAGAGAGGAGAAATATAAAGAGATTATGGCGTTTTAGACTCTTGAAAGAAAACTGGAAACCAAGACGTTTTCATTCGTATCTTGACCACCAGGCGCAAATGCCCGGTATGACTCGCAGTCAGCTCCTGGATACAACTATTCGTGTTTCACGGATGTGTGTGTTGCATATCTACGATACTGAAGGCACTTTTATGGCTCATCTTGTCTTCGCGGCGAAACGCACGTTGCTCGGCTTGTTAGTGAAATATTGTTACAGCCAGTGGCGTGGCGTGCTTTGCGATATATAGATTGATCTGCCATTTAAACCTATGGAAAAGGATCGATTAATAGGGTGTTCGCAACGAACACCTCAACAATCGATTCATTACCATAGCTTCAAATGGGGAAACATCGATAGTCCATCATTCACGCCGCGCCACTGGTTGCAGCGTTGCTCCCTTGTATGTGACGTTAGAAAGGCATACGAAAAACTGCTGTCAGTGCCTCTTTGGTCACCGCCGAGAAAAATTAATCGAATTTTTCGGTTTTTGGTGTTTTTGCAAAAAAGTATAGAAAAATATTTGCGCGAGACAGACAGTACCCTGTATTACCACTGACTTCATGGTGTAGGTAGATTTGATAGCATGTGTAAAAATATGTGAGAAGTAGGCACAAATCCGATAATCACCTACGTAGTTGCCAACTTCGGCCAGATAGACCAGAAAATAAAAAGCTCAACATTTCCAAGTTGGATTACTTGGACAATCATCGATATTCGATAATGCGAGTCATACCAAAGTATCTCGTGTAACTAGGTAAATATAAAAACTATTATCTGACCGAACCAATTTGTATATGACCACTGCATTAAGTAAATAGCTTCCTATCGCTAACCGAAGCGCGAAACCACGTTTCTTCTTTACGGTGTTTCAAAATCTCCACTGCTTTATTTTTACAATTTTTTTTTTTCATTCCATTTTCATTCATCCAACACTTTATTGATCGATTCTTTACCATAGGATCTAATGGGAAAATCTCGATAATCGGAGCGTCGCAGTGGCGTGGCGTGCTTTGCGATAAATCGATTGATCTCCCATTTAAACCTATGGAAAAGGATCGATTATTAGGGTGTTTGCAGCGAACACCCTAATAATCGATTCTTTACCATAGCTCAAATGGGGAAATATCGATGATCGATCATTTACGCTTCACTGCTGGTATATTCACCCCAAAAACGTTTTCTTGTAATGAATGGAGATGTTGCATGTGTGAGGAATTTGCAATTTGACTGTTGATTCTTATGTAAAAGTTCGCAAGAAACACGATGGTGCCACTGATTTTCTCTGGGAGTTAATTTCAGAGAAAACCAGTGGCACCATCGTGTTTCTCGCAAACTTTCACATAAGAATCAATAGTCGAATCGCAAATTCCTCACACATGCAACATCTCCATCGGAGCATCTTTTTCCCATCATGATTATCAAGCGATTTGGCAACGAAGGCGTCGGTGCGGCCAGTGACTGTAGTCAAATTGCTGGGCGCGTGACCAGTCTCGCGGCCGGCGAATCGAAGTCAAGACCTCTCTGGATAGGTGACAAAAATATTGACATTTGCACCACGATTAGACGCCACGTTTCGATCTCGTGAATTAATTTGAAATTTTACAAACCTCGCCTCTTTGTCGGGCAGTCGTAAGCACGTGCCTTGTGCATCCCATATCAAAAATCATTTCCCCGAATCCTAACACAGTGCTTTATTTTTACAGCGACGGCTACGATCGAAGTGAAATAGTGGAGATAATGTTGTGATCGGGGCAGTAACTTACGATTTGATATCGCGAGTTCAATAAAACGTGATACGTGAAATTGTGCACCTTGGATTACTCATATTTGTGATAATATTGGAAGCGTGAAACTGTAATAGACTCGCAACTCTTGTTGGGTGCCCTGACGCTTTGTCACGGTGAAAAACTTATTAAAAATACCTTGGATTTTATGCGCATCGATGGTGACTTATGTTTGCCGTAGTTCCGCGCTATGTTCTACGCGCGAGATGAACGATGGAATCATAAGGGCACTTTAATGATAAGCTTCCTGTGAGAGAGCTGGAAATTGTGTAAAATCTCTAACTTTAAAATACAATTGGACGTATTTCTACCAAAGAGACCTATGTGCAAGTGAGAAATGTGGGGTGTGCTCGTTAGTTCTCTTTGCGTGGCGAGTGAATGGGAATAATTGTGCGCCAGTGACGTCAGCGGCAATGAGTGCGCACTCTAACGGCGGGGAGATCGTCGTCGGGGCGCTGTAACTCGTGAGCCCTGTCCACAACGCTCTCTTGCCATGCCCGCGGCTCATGAGTTCCGCATTCAGTTGGCACATAGGTCTGTTTGATAGAATGCAACATCCCGCTTTTCCAATTCTTCAAAAGGAACGACACCCACTTTTACATTGCTTCTTATCCAGCTTCCAAGAGCACACCCCACATTTCTCACTTGCACATAGGTCTGTTTGCTAGAACTACGTCCAATTAGCACTTCTTTAGGCAGAATGAAAGGAAAAAGTCGGTGTGAACCGCTAGAGAAAGGTACGTTCAAAGTATGTATTTTAATTGCAACGTTTCAACATCTCGGGCCAGGTTCAATTTTCATTTTTTTTTTTTTTTTTTGTTGTAAATAAGAGACATAACCAACCTAAATATTGCCGTGACATTTTCTGTGAGTATATTAAAAATAAATTAGGAGAATCCGCAGAAAATTAAAAAAAAAAACCTGTGGTTTCGTTAAGAAAAAAATTAAAGTAATGTAAAACATGCGGCGTGGAATGTGCAGCGATGCAGTTGGAGATAAATAGTCTTTTCTGCGTGTAGCCATCGGTATTTGACTGCATTTACGGAAGGCGTTTTTGAGATAACTATTCGACCACGGGTGATACTCATATTGCCGCTAGCTGCAATTGAAGGCGCGTCGTACTGCGACGATGAGACTAGCGCGCTACGCTAGGCTGGGGCTTCGGCTGAAGGCCTGATTGGTTTTCGGAGTTTCACATCTGTCCATACTCTCGCTATATAGGTACTCTAAATTTGATTGCAGCGTGGGTGATGGATTCCCGTTGATGCGGCAAGGAGCGAATATCTCCCGTGGTTGAGCGACAGTGACCGCCGAGGTGCAATATGCAGCCGCGCATCATCGGACGAAACTTGATGCGTAGCATTGGTAGTGTTTTTTCTCGTCGCTGCTGGACGGTGAGCACCGAGAAGGAGGACCGTTTCATCGTGCTCACCGATGAAACCAATCGACTCGACTCAACACAACTCGGAGCCAAGACCAAAAGGCTCATTTTCCCGTCCATTTGGCTCCGGGACAATTGCCAGTGTCCGCGGTGCTTCGACACTCAAGCCAACTCCAGGACTATAGACATGATGCATTTCGACTGGAAGGTCAAACCCGAACAGGCTCAGGTTGGTCCCAACTCTCACTATAAAATTCGCTTCCCTACTATAGCAATAGCTGTTAAAATTCGTTTTTAAAAAAACTTTGAAGAAACTGTGTAATTTTACGAAGACGGAAACCCATTCAATTCTTAAGGCAGCCCTGTTAGCAGGGACTGTAAAAAATCTCTTAAAAATGTGTGAATTTTAATTAAAATACTCTTGATCAAACTGTTGAAATTTACGGAGAAATCACCTCTTTTGGGGACTTTTTTAGCGTGAAATTAACGAGAGGCAAAATTTGAGTAAAAAAGTGTTTTTAAAAACTCTTTCAAAAAACCGTGATTTTTTAAAACAATTTTTCAACATAAAATGAACGTAAAAAAGTGTTAAGCCCCCAGTATATTAGTTTTAAGGGTTTTTTCCCAACAATTATTGTGCTTCCAGGACTTTATGTCCACCTACCTTTCGTCCATTCAATAAATGTCCACCGCTATTTATGTCCACTAAACGTTAAGTCCAGTCTTTATTAAGTCCACATGATTTAATGTCCAACCATGAATACGTCCAAAATTGTCCAAATTGTGGACATGTTAAGTCCACATTTTTTTCTTCTCATTTAAATGACAGGAACCACCTCAAAAATAAATGCATACTACTACTACCTTCATTCATGAACCAAGTCATGAAAGAGAACAGACTCTAAGAGCAGATAAAAACATTTGTTCATGTGTACACTGTACGGATATGATAAGATGAAAACCGAAGCGGGAGCCTAGGAAACGCTCCAATGCCAAATTAAACATTTTTCAGTAATAGATGCAGTCAAAATTGAAAGTCCTCTTTAACTAGTTATTTCGTGCGTCTTCAATCTTGTAGGATACTGTGCAACGCCTGTGTCTCGAAATAGTTGCTTAAAGCGTTACGGCGCGGCAGGCGACCAGCGTGACACGCGCATAGGCGCCTACAAACCTAACGGGATACTTCACGCGTTGCGCGATGCGTGAAGTATCCCGTTAGGTTTGTAGGCGCCAGTGCGCGTTCTGCGCTGCTAGCACGCCGCTCCGCTTTGTGTTGGGCTCTAATGTTTAAACTCGCGGAGTCAGCGTTTTTCAACTCATGATTTTGAAATGTTTGCACTCTATCTGCATTGATTATTATTCCCTTTTAAACTGATGAAAAAGAAATATGTACTACTGGAAAATATAATGTGTTTTTTGTAAATATAATGGTGGTTCCGGGTCAAATTTAATGATTTCCAAAGCATTCAAATTTATTCTTTTATGTTTCGGGCTTTTATGCTGTGCTGCAGCATGGTATAAGCGCAACCAAACGCTTAAAATTGGACGTATTTGACTCAAGGAGGTCGATGTACAAATAAGTTAAACACAAAAAATTGCGTGATTCTTAGTTTTTTCCTCTTTTATTAATTTTTGTATAGTTTCTTTCATCACAACTACGGCTCATTGAGATTCATATCGATGCCATTGCTTGGAAAAGATTTTACAAATATTTACCACGTTTTAAAAATGTAAATGTTTTTAAAATGAAGTAATCAATTTCATTAAAAAAAGGAATGTACTAAGGCATATTTTACATTGGAAATTTCAAGGATAGAAATGAAACCAAGTATTTACCGAAGATAATTTGATTAGATGAATCAAAAGAAGAAATCATCATTTCATTTAAAATATGAGTTACGATAACAACACATCATTCTCTCTTAATTTTCTCATTTCGATATTGTCAATATAATTTTACACACGGACTAAAATAAGACGCTTGAATTTGATTTTAGTGGACTTTACATTTGTGGACTTAACTTAGTGGACGTTTAAGTAATGGACTTAACAATAGTGTGGGCTTTAAAACTGTGGACGTAAAAATTGTGGGCGAAAAGTCTGTGGGCGTGAATAAAGTGGACATAAAGACCGTGTACCACGTGACCGTGACCGTGTACCGTATCCACTTAAAATTGACCTCTCGTAAATTTTTCGTGAAAAGAATTGTCCTTGCTGATCGATGCTTATACATATGAGCAGTGAACTGACACTGATTGCGATCAGTGATGAAAAATGAAATTTCACGTGCAATCACTCATTTCTTGAGATTTCATTTTGTTGCGAAATGAATTGTCATTTTCCATGTTTTGGCGATTTTTCAGGGGCTGGGTTAATGACGCATTTGTCGCCTTTTATCTATAGTTTTGTCCATCAATTTCAATAATCAGCGCGCAGGATTTTATGACCGCCAAAGGAAAGACACCTCCTTGGAAAGTCCCTTATTTCTTCCTGTTCTTGCGTGTGGGCGTTCATATGAGTTCACCATTGTGAGGAATTCCCACCGAGTATAAAAGCAAAATCCCCTTCATTTTTTGTGCATGCGACAGAGTAATCTTGAAGCAAAAAAAAGGCGACAAAAGTGTACCCGAGAACAGTTTGGAGTGGGTGAATCTAGGGTACGTGTAGCCTTAAAATCACGAAAAATCAAAATCTTCGCCGATCTTATTTTCGACGGATCGCAAATTGAATTTTTTTTAGTAAATGCAAGTTTTCTACTGATTTTGATCCGGTTTAAATTATTGTCCATCGAATCCGTGTCGATCGGCTCACGGCGATCGATTCACGTGTTTATTTTCCGTGCAATTCATGTCGATCGGATACATCTCGTTGCATGCAGACTTCCTATCATACTCTTAATTGTAACTGAACAGTGCGCCTTCTGCTGCGTCTGCAGCAATTGTTGCTACGAATACGTTGTGCGTGCTGATTTCACCTCATTACATACTCGACTCTCTGAAGGCGTTTTATGTGCGAAAGCAATTCGCCTTCAGCTGCGTTTGCAGCAATTATTGTTACGAGTACATTGTGCGTGCTCATTACATACTCGACTCTCTGAAGGCGTTTTATGTGCGCAAGTGCCTAAAAACGAAAGGAGTAGGGATTGAGCGATTCATTGAATCTCACTTCTGTTGTTCTTCAACAGGGTTCTCTACTTTCGCATATAAAACGCATTCAAGTGATTCAAGTATGTGATAAGCTAAGATCAGCACGCACAACATATTCATAGCAACAATTGCTGTAGGCTTAAAATCTTGCCTGATCCAATTTCCGAAATAAGCGTTTTGAACCTGCTCTTGATCATTAAGATCAACAGTAGAGTTTATTCATACTTAAAACTTGTTTAAAAGCTTTAGATGACCCAATTCGATGAGCCACCATTAAGTGAATCAGAGAACTAGGTTCTTTGAGTAAATTTACACCATAGATAAGAAGATAGTGTAAATGCGTAGTCTCTAGAATATATCGTCTGTGCCTGGACCCTCAAAAAATTATATACAGGTATTACTTTTTTTTCGATTTTTTCTTTAACACTTTGACACGATACACCGTTAGAAACCTACAGCCATCTGGTGCCCGTAGAAACTCGGAGGACTGCCGTGCTAAGGAAAAACGCCGTAAGAACATTCGAGAGTTGCCAAATTTCCCTCAATAAAATATGTATTTCTCACGGCATTCATGCACATTTTTTCCAGAAATTTTCAGATATTTTAGATCAAATTGCATGAAAAATTGTCCGAAAATTTCGGTAAAAAATATTTACAAATTTCCCAGGAATTTCGGTTTTTATCGAAGGAAACTTGGCAACGTCTGAAGGCTCATACGGCGTTTTTCCTTAGCAAAGCAGCGTGCTCCATCCATCCACGCTCTCCACCTTTCGTTTTTCTCGAAATCACAAAAACATCCCCTCTTTCATTCACTGAATGTTTTAATGAGCCACGGGAACTACGGTTTTCCTTTGTTTCAAAATGAATATCATCATCTAAATTATTTTTTCCACTGGGAGAAACTGTTTGTGAATGTGGTGTTTCTTCCGGAATGTCAACAGATCTCAGCCGCACAGCAGTTGAAGGTGGCCTGGTCGGATGGTCATCACAGTGATTTTTCTTTGGAGTGGCTCAAAGAACGCAGTTTCGACCCTGACACTCAAAATGCATACCTCAGAAGAAACTACAAATTCGAGAGGAAGCCATGGTCGGCGAGAAGTTTTCCGGAGATTTTCAAAAAATACGACTACAGAGCGATCATTGAGGAGTAAGTTCGGATTCTTTCAAAATTTGTGGCTCGGAGACGACGACCGAGTCACCGGGATCGTGATCAGGGTGTCTACGAGTCCGGAATTTCCGGAAAGTCCGGATATGGTACTGATTTTTAAAAGGGCAATCCGGAAGTACTGGAAAAGTGCGAAAATTCCGCAAAAAGGTCCGGAATTTTTTCAATTTTTTGTCATTTTTGTCGCAATTTCAGATTTTTGAAATATTTCGAATTTCGTCAAATGGAGGTACTGAGAAAGTACGGAATTTTTCTGTTGGAGGAAGTACTGAATTTCTTGAGAATGTCCAGAAAAAGTACAATTTTTTTTTTTTTTTTTTTTTTTGTAGTTCTTCCTGGAGAGAAAGTGGCGAATCTTCTCGAATATATGACAATTTAAGTGACTTATTCCGACTTATACAGGAAAAGTACTGTAAAAGTACTTATTTTTGACCGGCCTGTTTTAGTAGACTAGACACCCTGGTGATTCAAATTGGCCCAGATATCGTTGCCCCTCTGACGTAAGAGCGTACCTCAATTTCCTTGAGAGCCTTGTTTTACATATAACTAATGCTTTCTGGGGCTCATCTGGAAATCGAGATACGCTCTTCAGCCAGAGGAGCGACGATATTGGGACGAATTTCACAAGAATCAGCTATCTAACTACGCCACTGCGCTACGCTAAAGAGGAACGCCGTATGAACCTTCAGACGTTGCCAAATACTCTTTGACAAATTACGAATTTTTAACGAAACTTATGAATATATCTCTTGGAATGTTTCGGAAAATTGTGTTCGTAATTTGATCCAAAGGGTCCAAAAATTTCAAGTAAAAATATTTATGACTATCTTTAAAAATAAACATTTTCTGAGAAGAGATTAGGCAACATTCACTATATACTACGTTTTTCTTTAGCACGGCAGATCAGGCATTGCCTAGCTCTACCTCCTTATATTCTTTTAAACAAAAAACTGAGCAAAATTCCGCTGTGGAAATTCACAGCAGAAAGTTTCAAAATGTTTTGTTCTTTAGTTTGCCGCGGAATAAATACGATATAAGAGAAAATTAGGCAGCGTGAAATGTACGGTTAGACCGATACACGTGAATGTCGTCCATTTGCAGCGTTTTTTACTCTCATAAAGGATTATTAACGCACAATATTTCCATAGATAAAGTCGAGAAATGCGTGCCTATATGTCCATTACAGGCAGGGACGGATTTCCCACAAGGCGCCCCTAGGCAGCTGCCTAGGGGCGCGAAGTTTGGAGGGGCGCAAAATTTTGAGACACATGCATAATTTTTTAAGGGTTCTAGAATTGAAATCTGTAAAAAAATTAAGGACAAAAAAGAGGAATATCTGTGAATCTGTCCTTGTCTACTAATAAGGTTCGTAAAACCCGCGCCCCCTCTGCATAAATGAGTAAAATTTTCTTTTTACTTTTTCCAACCTTTTCTCGCATTTGTTCAGTTTTGCTTTGTTTTAATGCCCTATATCTTTTGAAAATTATGGTAGCACAAGAGTTATCTCAGCCAGCAAATTTTTCTCTTAAATAACCTTAAAGTAGCTTTAAATTGCGATAATCAAATGCCCGACTTTAAAAAATTCCCGGGGAAGGTCCCCCGAACCCCCCTTTTGGCTGGGGGGTACCTCCCATGACTCCCCACGTGAGGAGCGCGACTATAAGATTTGCCAAGGAGCCTATTTCCATTTTAATCTTCCGTCACATTCTTACGGCGCAATGATACAACTATATGAACTCTCCGGAATGCGTGAGGTATCACGCCGCATTTGAAGGCGTTTTGAAATCAGGCAAGTTCCGATACCCGGATTATCGTTTTGCATAGTTCATATTCTTTTGATATATTCCGTACTACCTGTTTATTTTTAATCCTCGTATAAAAACCACCCATTTGTTAAATACAATTCTAGCTGGAGCGCACTTCAGCTATGCATTCACCACTGCAAAAATGTCAAAGGAAATCGACAAGCCCAGCGTGCATGGAGCCTATTTCAATTGTAATTCTCCGTCGCATTCCTAAGGCGCAATGATACAACTATTGGAACTCTCCGGAATGCGTGAGGTATCACGCCGCATTTGAAGGCGTTTTGAAATCAGCCAAGTTCCGATACCCGGAATATCGTTTTGCATAGTTCATATTCTTTTGATATATTCCGTACTACCTGTTTATTTTTAATCCTCGTATATAGAAACCACACATTTGCTAAATACAATTCTAGCTGGAGCGCACTTCAGCTATGCATTCACCACTACAGGGTTTCAAAATCTGATGACTGAGCCGATTCATGTTACATTTTGTGTAAAGAGAGCTTGAAATCTTCTGTGGATACATTTTACAGAAAGAAGAAAATTCACAGAAAATAATGAAAAAAAAATTGTTGCTTCGATCTCTGTAGAAACATAAGCCATCAAAAACGGTCTTTAAAGTCATAATGGAAGATTGGCATTTTTTACTTCAGCTATCGAACTTAATGGTACATGTCCCTGCAGTTAGAGTTGAAATCCGTCAAAAAATCGATTTGGAAAAAATGTGACTTGTGACTTGTGCCTCTTTTCGAAATGGCCGTTCACTTCATGTTTGAAATGGGCGGAAAGAAATTGCGATCAGCGATTACTGCGAGGGAACGTGTCACGTCGCGCCGCGTCGTTAGCGTTAAGAGGACGAATACAACTATACGTGCTCTTAGGCTGTCCGTGTTGCATACACGGAAAAATGAAGGCGTTTTGATTTTGCTCGCGCTTATGACAATGTTGCTAGTCGCTGGCAATGGAGATGTTGCATGTGTGAGGAATTTGCGATTTGACTATTGATTCATATGTAAAAGTTCGCGAGAAACACGATGTGCCACTGGTTTTCTCTGAAATCAACTGCCAAGCTCATAAAAAGATCTCAAGTTGAGGCCAAAATGGAGGGGATATCCCACGCTATCCTGAGGATTCACCTCTCCATGCAAAGATAGGGAGCAAATACATTAGCAGTGATGCCGTGTTTTCAGTTTTGGAGTCCCCAAATAAAGTGGCAGCCCTGTCAATGTATTTGCTCCCTATCTTTGCATGGAGAGTTTGTCTTGATGTAGAGGTGGACTCTCAGGATAGCGTGAGATATCCACTCCATTTTGGTCTCGACTTGAGAGCTTTTTTTTTTTGAGCTTGGGAGTTAATTTCAGAGAAACCCAGTGGCACCATCGTGTTTCTCGCGAGCTTTTACTTATGAATCAACAGTCAAATCGCAAATTCCTCACACATGCAACATCTCCATTCTTAAGTATAATGAGCATAACAAGCTGCTTTCGCTGCTAGACGCCCTATGAACTTTCGGGCGTTGCCAAATTTCTTGCGACAAAATATTAATTATTCAGGATTCTGTCGAACATGTTCCTTTGAAATTATTCGACATATTAGGTTGAATTATGGAAAAAATGATGTGCTACATGAAATTATATCGAGAAAATTATCAAGAAAATGTGGTCTTTGTCAAGTCGGCACCACTATTCATGCGTTTAAAAGGCGTTTTTCTTTGGCGAGGTAGAGCGAAGAGCGGGCTACCGTGTTGGCGTCGGTTAAATTGACTTTTAGGGTCTGCTTTGTCATGACACCACTGCAAACAGGATGTATGAACTGCGAATCCTTAAACTTCAGGAGTTATGACTACACAGCATGACGCGCAACGGAACTGAAAGAGTTTAAGGCTTAAAAATTACCTAACTGCAATTTTTCATTTTGATTTTTTTTGTAAATCTCTGCTTTGGATTTTGCCTGTTTGATTTTTAGCGATCGAGTATTACTTGACTGGCTAACTCATCTTATTACATACGGGGTGGCTCTCATAGAAAATTCTGGAGTTGAGCTGGGCACTATAAAAATCCTTGCGAGAAGGGTTGCATTTCTGAGGAGGACACAATACGGGTAATATTACTACATCAATTGTTGAATTTGTGTTTTGAGCTTTAGAATTATACTAGGGGGCTACGCCCCCTGGCCGCTACGCGGCCCAACCCCCTGAGGGCGCTCCGCGCCATCAATGGGCCGCTTCGCGGCCCTATTTTTACCCTCCTATCGGTGTTAGTTTTATTTATATTTCCCCTAAAAAATTACGATATGAGGTATACTTTACTTTTAGAATGAAATAATTTTTGGTTTTGATGAATAAAGAAACAAACATTTTTTTTTTAGTCTAAAGGGCGCGATTTGTAATGACTGTTTGATGAAATATTGCAGTAAAACAACGAATATTGATAATCAGGTAATAATTAAGTGTTTCGGGAGACGGGAATCGAACCCACACCTTGCGCTGAAAGGACGCTTCCGACGTCTTTGACGACTCGGCCACCGTTCGTCTAGAGGAAAGTGGTGCGAATCTTGTGTAGATAAGTGTAGAGCTGATGCGCAGGCTACACAGCTACTGCGCAACCTCCTCGACCACTGTGCATCCTCCCGCGCATAGCGGTAGCAGTCTCGGAGCATTCTGAAAATTCACTCACTTTTATAACGTGATTGTAAAAAAACCTGGGTCCTATTTCCAAATTCTAAATAGAGCGGGCTCATCTAGGGCCAATTACCCGTCGATTACCGCAAAAAACTTGGAAATCGGCCCGGTAGAACGCTCAAACGAACTATGACAAAAAGTATAAATTAACATTGTTTAAATGGGAGAATTCGCAACTTTACCACTTGATATAAAAAAACCTGGGCCATATTTTGAAAATCTGAAAAGAGTTGGCTTATCTAGAGACAATTGCCCGTCGATAGCCGCAAAAATCATGAAAATCGGCCCGGTAGAACGCTGGAACTAAGCGTCACCAGTTTCGCAAAATTAGGAGGTCTTGGAGCTTATAGTATAGAAGTATAGATTAACTTCATTCCTCAGTCCATGCTCATTGTCAGCCTGATGCCTCAGCTTATTTGCCTCTTATAGTCACCCGAACAAGTTATGATTCAATTTTGACGAATCAATAGTTTTTACTTCATGTTTCTATTATTTTTGATAAGATGCAAATAAAGAAAAATGATGAAAAAAAAAACAAAAAAAAAACATATAAATAGGTACTTAGGTATTTTCGGGGCTGTTCATAAATTACGTCACGCGATTATGTGACACCCATTCACCCCTTTTAACGCAATCGTGATGCTGGATCAGACACCCCCAAAACAATCACACAATGTTTGCTTCGAAAACCCTCCTCTTTCAACAAAAAAAAAAATTCAAGAGAAATTTTTTCTCTAAAAAGTGGGGGAGAGCATAGCCTCTGCTACTGTTCATGTTCTGGCTCTGAATTTACGGAAACAAGAAAGAATATTGCAAAAAAATAGCATATAAAACTTAAAAAGAAAACAAGTTGGAATTAAGTATGTGCTATTACGTGGCGTTGAACGTGACACCCTAACACCCATCGTCATGCTGGGTCACAAAATTATGAAGACCCACCCACAGGGCCGGATTTACTTACTTGCCGCCCACGAGCCGCCTGTATTTTGCCGCCCCCTTCTCATTCGTTTTGAAACATCAATAAAAACCATCAAGTGAACGTGCCGGAGGGGGAGGGATGCATAAGACGCGTCTTCTCGTGTTGGACACATTTTTGCGAAAGCCCTGTCAACACTACTAGCGAAAGTTCACGAAACTTGGCGCGAAAGTTAAGTTCCTTAAATCTATCTCTGTGTGGACAAGGCCTTCCATTCATATGAAATGAACGAAAAAATTATGAAGGACAAACATAAATGTGGTTTAATAATTTTAACTTCCGCCGCGCCGCGCCTCGCTGACCGCAGTGTGTTTGATGCAATGCGTGAAGTATTAATGCAGTCTTATAGGCGCTATGCGTTTCACGCCGCCCGCTGCTGACCGCAGCGACCGCACTGTCTTTGGTGCAATGCGTGAAGTATTCATGCAGTCTCGTAGGCGCTGATACGAATGAACCTCGAGTTCGTACATGCCGACCGCCGCCGCGCCGAGGGTTTCTCCTTTTCATCTCAAGTTCTCGTCATCATTGCTCTCTGCGCCGCGCCGTTCCAGGCCAAGTTCCATGCTCGGTTTCTCTCTTAGTCTTAACTCGACGTGCTGTCTATTGTATCACAGAAAGACGACAAAATTAGAGATATACTCTCAGGAAATGAGAGATTTTGTCACATTTTCCCGTTTGCATTTTTTTTTCTGAATCCGATTTTTCTTTATACCTACATTTAAAAAAATTGCAAAATTTGCGGCCCCCTAACTTTGCCGCCATGGGCCACCCCCTAAATCCGGCCCTACCCACCCACCCTAGAGCGTTACGTAATGCAAGCCCCTTCTCTGTAGCAATTATTTTCAGGCAAGGCTTTAAATTACATACAAAATTTTTTTGAGCATGTAAAGGTATTGAGACTGTGTTGCGTCTACTTGTGGAGTCAAAAAATAGGTAATACTGCTTCCGTCTGTCCATAGAGAGACGTTCTACGTTGAGGCTAAAGAGGGTGCAACGAATTCTGCATATAAAGCAGCAGCTTTGCAACTTCATGTGGACTTGCCATACAATCGTTACATGCCAGAGGTAAGTGCTACCTCAAACCTTTTCTACAGTTCAAAAGGCCACATGTGTGTGTCTTTTAAATAAAAAAAACTTACATTGGACCACTAGGCAAGGTAAGCACAAAAAGCATTCTGATATGAGGTTCGTCATCAAAATTTTACGTAAAACGCGTTTCACACAAGGAATATTCCTGAAATTAACTCAAAACAAAGGTATGAGGGTTTTTGCAGGGCATTGGTTACGAATTATTCAAATTTTCCTCTTAGCTGAAAACCAGAGTCTACTTAAATCGAATTGCGCACTAACGGGTTTGACGAGGCTTCTCAATGAAGCAGTGTTCCTTTCCCATTCTATGTTGTTGAAAGTATAAGCAACATGTAATAGCTGAGCCGAAGGGCCGAGATTGGTATGCCATACTTTCATACCGCAGAGAATCTTACGGTGTGCAATTTAACTCAAGAAGATATTGTTGTTTTTCTGAGAGCGGAGGTTCGATTTACACATCGAAAAATGTTGAATATTTCAGTTATGAGTTCATTTCAGTCAATTTGGTTATACAAATCAAGGTCTACGTGAAATTTTGATGAGAAATCAAAGTCACGATGTTTCAATTGGCGCCTTGTTCAACGGCCCATTCACGGAAAAAATTAAATTGTTGATTTAACGATAAAATTGCTAAAAAAAAGTGACTACATTATTTCAACGTAGATTTCACAACAAAAAATTGCCGCTTTAACCAACCTCGCGGTTAAAGTGGCAATTTTTTTTTGTAAATTCTACATTGAAACATTGCAGTCATGTTTTTTAGCGATTGAATTGTCAAATCAGCAATTTAATTTTTTCCGTGTTCGAAAAATTGCAGATGCCGGGCTCATCCGACTGCGGGAACGCGATTAGTTGTTTTTCCTACCCGAGCGTTCAAGTCTCCAGGGATAGTCATCCGCCAACGCGACAAGAGATGTTGGCTTTTCTTGCGTTCATCAATTTAAAGTGAACCAATCAATCGTTTGTCCTCGTGCGAGATTTCAGCGCAGAGAAAGTTTTATGCTGAATTTTTATTGTGAATACCGATCGTGCCAAGCACTTGTTCTGGGTGAAATTTTGATAGGGTAACATTTAACAGAGTTCTTAAATTCGTACCTTGTCTAGTGGTCCATTCGAGGAAAACATGGAGCGAATCTTATAACTCCTCCTCATTTCATCAATTTAAAATAAATGCTGGGCTACTGTGTGACTTGTCCCAGAAGGACAAAGTGTGTGAGAGGCAATGGTCCAAATTTTGTAAACACGAAGATAATTTTGTGTTTTCCAGGGCCGGACTGGCTAAGGCAGCTAGGCAGCGATCGCTGCCTAAGAATTTATTCTATAAATGAAATGAATCCATGAAAAATTGAAAAATCCTTGAATTTATTGTTGTTTGCTCTACAGTTGATATTTTGAGAGTTTTTTAACGCTTTTTTACTTAAGTTTTACTTCTCTAAAATTTTACTTTTAAAAAAAAATAGCTAAAAAGGGTTTCCTAATATGAACATTTTAACAGTTTTTTTTTAAAGAGTTGCCTTCTTGAAATTTGTGAATTTAAAAGTTATTTACAGTAGTTGCTACTAAGAAAAGTGGCCACAGAAATTTCGAACTGGAACTTCCTGAAATTTACAGGTTCACTCAGACCAATTTCGTCAAATTTTCGAGATGAAACATAATAATGGGTCAGTACGTACATGGCATCCGTTTTCTAATTTATTTTTCGACGGGCGTACACTATTTTTCGACTCATTTTCTGAAAGTAAGGATTGAACTAAGCTTCTAGGAATTTTTTCAGATTTGTTTCACTCAAAATGGCAAAGGTACCCCGTTTTACAAATAAAAAATATAGGATCCCTTTGAAATAATATTTCAGGCAGGCTCTGATGACAAAGCCAGGCAGGGGGAACAGCGTTTGCTGATTGGCTGAACTCAACCTCAGGCATCCCCTTGCCACGTCAACTCGACCGTTGCCTTTTGATTGGTTCGAGTTTGATTGACTTATTTTCCTCCCCTCAGAAATTCTTTTTTTCGTTTTTTCAATGAACTTGTCGGTTTGCTCTTAAAATTTGATGTCAGAGAAACTCAGCAGCAACCCTACAAAAATTCCATGCCATTGCTCCATTTAAATAATTTCTAATCTAGATTCTAGAAAAGCCGCAATTAGAGACATGATACATGAAAATCCCCTTTTTCTGAGATACAAAGTTCCCCTGAGTTTTGGGTCACATTAATATTCTTCCCAGACTTTCTTCCTCTCCCCCTGACTGGGGCCATACCCTGATATTATTGTGATTGACAAATTTCGGAGAATCAGTTTTTTCATGTGTGTTGTAGTAGCAAAATCTATTTATGTTTAGATACTCTTCCTTCATTGCATTCTTCAATCAAAGCAGAAAGAAGGAGGAGAAAGCCACCTGACAGACTGTCTGCATGTGGGACAGGAAATGAAAGCAAGTCATCCAAAAATGTATGATATACTGAGGTCGGTTGAGGTTGATTGGTCGGATATTGGTGAAGACAGCGGTTATGAGTTTCATGCAATTCACAGAGAACCGGTTGTATGGTCAGTATCCAGTTAGTTTCTTCTCAAATGATATAATTTACTAATACCTAGTCTACGACACGAAAAGAGGCAGCTTAGAGGCGGAGTCAGGTAAGGGGCTTGATCTATTCGGTGCTAGGTATAAAAGCCGCATGAGCAGTGGAATACTGCCAAATTTCCTTTCAGAAAATACTTACTTTTGAAGAAACTTAGGAAAAGTTTCCCCTTGAAATTTTCGGACTTTTTAGATCAAATTACAAACGAAATTGTCTGAAAAATCGGAAAAGAAATATTCACAAATTTTCTTTGTGATTTGTTAAAGGAGATTTGGCGACGCCTGAAGGCTTATTATATTCTTTCTTGGAACGGCAGTATTATTTAGGGGTTCACATGCTTCGTCAAGACTAAGTCCTCTGCATGAGTCATAATTTACCTTCGTTTAAACTCTTAAATAATACCTCGAGCCAGTCACTATCGCTCTGCCCCTCAGCTGCTACTTTTCATGTCATAGACTATAGAAGCTTTTGTGTTCCTTTTAAACTGCTTTATTTTGTCTGTTCTTCTCATTTATGATTATCTGTTACCTCATTCTTTCTTTGCGAAGCAATTGAGAGGAGTAAATTTGATATCAAATTTTCCTTTTTCATTGCTGTTCTCAATATTTACTATTGGAGAAATACAAACTCAACATAAAATGACACTAAGGCCGCAAAATAAAACATAAAATAAAAAACCGTGATGTTTCGCAGTTCTTACACCTGCATTTTCAACCAGACCAGACATACAAAGAGAGCAAATAATCAAAAGAAAACAAAGTAATACTGAATCTAACTAATACTAGGTAAGTCAAACTAATACTAATTTGAATAATGCTGAGTAGGTAATACTTCAATATTGGAGAATGTGTCCTGACCTCTCCCCTGAAATTTTAAGAGTCATGTCGTGTTCAGCAAATATAATTTTAGGGAAGAAACAAGATATCCGACTCAACCATCCTGTAGAATGGAATTCTTCAAAGCGCGAGGACATAGCAGAAATCTAGACTATAACAGGTGACTGGGTAAGGGTTCCCTCTTAAAGTGGCAAGCAATATTATGACACTGATAAATAAATCACATTAATATTATGCGGGTATGAAATCTGCTATGTGAGTTGAGGCAAAGTATGTGTAGAGTGATGAGAATATTAATATTTCATTTCTAAGAGGGTTTTTCATTTTCAATTTCAATTTCAATTTTTCATTTCTGAGTTAATCACCAATGGGACATCACTGAGTTGGTTGCCCCTGTAATATAATTCCTTTTTTGAACTTCTACTTTCACGTAAAACATATGTACCTGGTTTGTAGATCTAATTTTGTAATAAAACTGATTTCAGTGAAAATAAAGACGGAGAAATAAGGCGTGTAAATTTTAGTCAACCGCAAAGAGATAATCATTTCAACATTCCTGCCGAGGACGTTGACTCATGGTATGAAGCATGGAGCTTGTTTGTACAACAGGTTCATAATTCTGAGAACAGAGCATTGTTTAGGCTGACTGAAGGTGAGAAAATAAAAGCTGTATAGATTTGATTTTATAAAAAAAAAGTTTATGTAATATCTTCATATCAATAAAAATGTAAAAAAATGTTTGAAATTTTTAGGTAACTATCTTAAAGCTGAGAAATTTGAAGAAGCTGGAAAAAACCACTGAAAACTTCAAAATATTTGAAATAGAAATTTCAAGATTGTTAAATTAAAAATCAACATTTTTTAGTGCTGCTCAACATTATTTTTGAGCTTTAAAGTCGACGTATCAAGTTGACTAACTCCTCAGGCCCCTCCAGGTTTAGTAAAAAAAGACATTTATAAATAAAAATTCAAACATGTTAGTCACGAATGAGAACAGTGATTTTTCTGTTTCTTAAACAGACTTCATTTGCAATATTATGCTTGATACAGAATCAGAAAGAATTCAGAGAAAATAAAAATTCATTCTATGAAAAGGTAAAAAGGAAATTTTTACAAAGTTCTGGAGGAACTTTCACATGCAAGTCTAACATTCAATTTGTCAACAGGTGATATTCTGGTATTCGATAACACACGCCTTGTTCATGGACGAACAGCTTTCAATGACTCACGGATTCTAGAGGGTGGATACATGGATTGGGACTTAGCACACTCAAGGATGAGAATACTGCGCAAACAACTTCATGTTGAATGAACTTTAATTATGTATTTTATTATATTATAATGAAATAAAATTTTATACTTTGGTTATTCTATTTTTCTTTCCCTTATTGAAATTGAGTGTTGGTCACTGGGTTTTTGTTTCTTCCACATAAAAATGATTCAAGAACAAAAACAATATTAATGTGTATAAGTGCAGATAGTTGAGAACCTGAGTGTAACTGATTTCAAGGCAAATATCAAAGCTCTCGAGGGCTTGATACCTGCAGCAACTGAACTAAACGAATCTCATCATGTTAGAACACGATACTTGTACCACCCTAAAAATAATAGTTGATCACAGTACACTTAAATTTTACTGAAAGATTAACAATCAGAGCTAAATGCTCAGAGCAAATCTCATGTGGACACAGACAAAAAATAGAGAGCATATGAGAGGCTTCAGGTATTAAAACTTTGGCTTTTGGTGCTTCGGCATCTCCTCTATTTGTTTTCTCCTTTGAAATAGACCGATGAAGAACTAAGAAAGTGAGAAAAAGCGCAATGACTCTCCTGCGGATCTTTAGCCACACTACAATCTGTAAATGCAGCCTTTTCTTCGTTATATATTTCCTCCTTGAGTTTTAGGGTCAGAATGGAAAATATTCAAGACTTCTATACTGCTGAAAACCCAATTTGTGCCAAACTTTAACTGATATTTAATTCTTGGGAAACCTAATAGTGCTCATATTTTCGTAAACAATTTCTAGATACAATAAACTGAGACAACTTTACCAGAGGGTTCATACTTCATCCGAAGAGATTTGGTAGCATCAAAAGATTTATTGGGATTTTCTCTGAGGCATCATTTACAATAATCATTGGATTCTTATATTCTGTTCCTCAAATAAATGCTGTATTGAAATCAATTAATCGTTACTTACATGTACGCAACAGTTGACATCATGGGAGGAACAGTTCTGCACAAGCCTTGATTGCAAATCTCTATCTGACAGAAGCCAAAAGGATCTTTTAAGGCTTTGAGATAGTGCTGGACATTCCAGAGTCCAAGACTGGACATATACTCACTTTCACCGAGTTTTTAGAAGCCGAAAAACTTGGCTAGAAACTGTAAACCAAAAGAGGAAGCTGATCCCACCTGCTTCGTTTGACGGCCAGCTGACAAGACGCGGGATCGGATGTGGCTCCAACCACTCTGCTGGAAGTTTAAAGACAGAAACTGAACGATACATGTAGAAGCAAAAAAGATTCAGGCACACCTGAAACAAAAAAATGATAATATCTATAAATTTCAGCACATGAGAGGTACAAAAATTTAAATTGTTCCTCTTTGCTTCGACACATTTGTGCATGTAAGTCTATTGCCATGAAAGAGAGGAGAATGATGAGCAAATCCTCCCATGCTAGCGTTCAAAATATTTAAATTATTGTAATCAAGATTATACTCTTACAGAGTCTCCTGACGGATCCATTAACTGCAATCCAGCTGTGGTCAAACCAGTCATCATCTGTCCTAATGAATGGGTCCGAAGTCTAGGTAAAGGAGATATGAATGCTCTTGTCCAAGAGTTTAAAAACTTATAGAATTTGAGGAAAAAATTAAGACAGGCTTCACATCTTAATAAATTGCTAGAAGAAATATGATACTTTTTACACAAGAGAATTTCGTTTAGTTACATCTCTGTGAATGTTGAAATACTTTAAATGCAAATTATTACAGTTAAACTGAGGAGCAATCTTTTTTTTTGTGCATGGAACTCAAAAGATCGCACACATTTTGAATCTGATTAATGCGATTAATTTACTGGTTGAACCAAAACCAGACCCTGGGATTAATCAAGTGACTCCCACATTGAGGAGAGATCAGCCGCTTTTCTTTTAACTTAACAGAAATTTGTTAATACAGGAATATGTGTAGCCATAAGGAAAAAATTCAGAAAAAAACATCTTTTGAATTTAACTTAAGTCACAGTTTTATCATACAAATAATTAAAAGAGATAAATTAAAACCTTTCATGAATAAAAGAGGTAAGTAACTAACATTTCATGTTTCCTAGGAAAAAAATGTTGAAGTTTAGAATCTGCATTGGATAATATGACCCAATATGAGTGTTTGCACATATTTTTATGCCAAAAATTGAATACTTGAAGTTTATAAAACAAGTAATGCTCAACATTATCAGTATCAGTAATCACTTCTTTTAAGGCACTTCATAAGGATAATCAAAGTGATGGCAGTTTCAGATGTGTTTGCACTGTGACGTAGATGGGTGCAATCTGGCACCAATGTCCTTCCAAAATACAAATTCAAAGTATGGAAAACGGACTGCAATGGTAGCTGTTCAGCCATAATTCAACGCTAAATATAAGTAGGTATATGAGCACCTTTTAGAGTAAGAATTTTTTCAGACAACCACATTAGATTAAGAATATCGCAATGAAAAAGGTTTCTGTATTCACTTATGTCATTAATCTCTTTCCAAGAAACCCAATACCTGTGCGAACATTTCTTCTTTTTTCTCTATGATGTCCACTTGGAGGTATCTACCAGACCAGTGGATTTAATTTCATGGTAAGAACTGTTTCTATTCATCCTCTGGCTGCAACATGTTCATGATTTTTTCTTCAATGGAAACTTCAACCTAGTTTTCTGTCATCTAATTTTGCTTGATATTAGGGAAAAACAAAATTTCATGTTCAAAAAATTGATGATCACATCAGAGGCGATAATTCAACATAGACAAAACCTGTTTTTAAATTTTCGAATTTTGAAAAAAATCATTATTGCAAATGATTTTTAAAACCTAGGCACTCGCTAGGGAGGTTGAAGAATTTTGAAAACTGAAAAGATTTTACTTACGAAGCTGCCTTGAAGTAACAGGTCCACCATCATGCGATTCATGGCAACAGTTATTTTATTTGGAGCTGAAAAAACAAGAGGAACATTGTTAATCAACATCTCAGAGAGTAGGGCTTTCTTAACTCTTATCACCCACTCTGGGATTCTCACAGCAAAATTAAGACAGATAACTTACTGGTTGAGAGCTGCTCTTTAAGAGCATTTAACTTCCGCTGCAACCTAGCATACTTTGGAAATTCGTCTACCATGGAAACCGTTTGTAACTCTGCTTTGATTGCGTTGATTTCAGCTCTGATTGGTGCATTTACAGGTTTGGGAAAGCATACATTCAGGATCTGAAATTTGAGAGAGAAGATATCAGTGTACGAGAAAAACAATCATACGTGGAAAGATTTTTAGATGAATGATTCGGACACCTACTACACAACCTATTCACATTGCGTACTTACCAATTCACAATCCATTAATTGATATATTCTTCATCACAATCCAACTTTCATCAGAGAGTTCTGCAAGGATGTATTCAGTGATGACACAGTAGGAAAAGTCACCCTAGACATACAACAAACTATGACCACTTTAGTTCGCTACCTACTAACCACGGTATCAAAATATCATAATATAGACAACATAAGGATGTCTCAAAGTTCGTAGGTATTAAATTTGAAAGTTGAGCTTTACTCGGTAGATCTCCGGTTTAAATGGCAGCCTGAAAATCTGATGGAAGGAGATGAATCAAAAGAATCAGAAGACAAAATAGAAAATGCAAAGATAAGATTTATTTACCCATTCCAAAAGAGCTGAATGAAACACACTCAGAAAGCTCAGACCTGTTGCTGCTAAGAAGAGGTACATCATTTAATAGAGTAGTTTTCACAGATAAAATTACGATGTAAAAATTAAACAGCTAATAAATTTGTGATGGGCTATCATAATTTTTGCTTAAAATAATATAATTTACACTTTCAGCAAGTCAAGTCGTCTAAAAACTATATTGGTTGCACAGTGCAGATGCAGAAATTGCAGAAAGAAAACGCTTTTTGCTCCAGTTTTGCTCTTATCATTCTATTTTTCTACTTATCAGTGTTTTGTTTATCTCGCCAGTCAACAACATCGATGGATGGTGTATACAGAAAGCTTATCAGTCTAAACAAAAACTTCAATGATCATGGCGGGATCGATTTTCCATTGTTATCATGCACATTCACCTACCTGGTTTTCCTTTTAATTTTCTGTAACTCAATTCAAAGTGAATTACTATGTGCCGTGCAGACATCATCTACTTTTTTAGTTGATCTATCGAAAGTTTTCCAATCTCTAATTTTTCGTCTTTTGATAATTAAGTATCAGAATAGTCTTGGACCCTCCTAATGTCTCAACCCACAGACCCAGTCAGAAGATCTCAAACTACAGCTTTATCGAAGCAATTATGTTTCTTACTCACCAACAAGAAAGGTTAGTAATTCCTCAATTTTATTCTTCCTCTGTAGACCCAGCGGATGTCCTTTTTTTTCTACTGTTTTTCCGACATGCTTACATAAACTTCTAACTGATAAATATCTCATCATTGGCTCACATGTTTTCCTGCGATTAAAACAAACCTGCTTTCCTAGTCAAAATATCGCACTACAAACACTAGTTTCCTGCTACTTAGCTTAAGTAATTAATTTACAGAAATACTTGTAGCAAAGATTTTCAGGAGAAATGCCAGATGCTAAGTATCTTTCTTGAAGAATGGCTGATCTGCATCAATAGTGTCCACAGCTACGAATGTTTGTCCATCAAGTTTACTCAAATAAGTAGATCTCAATTTGAAATGTGATGTACGTGTAAAAACCTGAAATCTTACTCAATGGTGAAAAAAGTAAGGTTACAATTTCAAACTCATTTAGCCAAAGCACTGTATTTACATTGACAATAAACAATTTATTTATACATGCTTACGCGTTTCGGGAGTTCTCCCATCTTCAGAGCATTTAACAAACAGAAGATACATGCACTAAACACTATTACATGGTAATAATACAAGAGTCTATGCGAACAAAGCTTGGAATTTTTTAATCACTGACCGGCGAGGAGCTGGCATTTACATAATCACAACAAGTAGACCCAACTACTCAATCAATGATATCTAATCAATGACACTGATAAATGCTAACGCATTTGAAAAAAAAGTAAGGCATAACGGCAAGTTTTTATCTGCAGCTGTACAACGTACCCAGTTTGTGAATCAGTACAATTTCGGCTAATTTAACTCTAGTTCTCTGCGTGTTAAAAAAAAATCTGATGGTCAAACTTTGGCGGTTGCAAGCTCTTAAGTACTTTTCTTTTGTTGCAGATGATGAAATTTTCAAAAAATTCATCCTCACTCTAGCTTTACATTTGAAGACAGAGGAAATCTCCACATCGTGCTGCACTGCAATTTTTGAAAAAAGTAAAAAACAACTGTCTCTCATTCACAGTGATGCTGATAATGCAATAAATGAATTTGAAACTCTCTTCAGGAAACTTTCGAAGGTTGATGTAAGTTGATTTCAAAACTTAACCTTATTACCTCCAAAATCGTCATCTCTTTTGAAATTGAAAGGTAACATGAATGAAGGAAGTAAGTGACATTTTTAAAAGAAATTTAGATGTTTGCTCTCACAAGTTAAACTCATCACAGAACATATTCTGTGAGCAATTTAAAAACGAAGGCAAATAATTTTACCTCTATATTGAAGTCCATAGTTTATTTGTTCAGGTCTAGATCATGACATGTTTTGCTATCATGCTGTTTTTATTGTTCAATTTAGAATTTAACTGTGCAGAGGTGGGTTGTTTTCTAACCGACAGATTCAAGACCTGAAACATATCATCTAATAAACCTTAATAAAGCAGTAGAAAATAGAATAAAATAAACCTCAAGACCAAGCCTTTATCACTTGAATAGAATTAATAATTTCTTCAAAAGTTAACGTCACTAATTCAAAACAATTTACCTACTCTAAAATTACTTTCCAGTAAATCTACTGTGTTGCGACTTGTTTTTACCATCAAAAGAAGACAAGCAATTAGAGATTTGAACATAATTTTTCATAGGTTTATAACTGAATTATCAAATTTAAAAAGAAATGAATATTATTATCAAATTTCCACAGAACTGAGACGCCTCATGAGGATGAAGCCCTGGAAATTGATGAGCCCCCAGGTCTGAGCCAATAGTTGTAGGTCAAAACTAAAATCTCTTATAAATGATTTAAACTACTCTGTCGTTTGCAACATCCACTTTATTCAAAATTAGTTACAACGTGTAAAATTCTTATATGGAGAAGATCACAATGAATGCTTGATAAAAAAAAAATTTCAAATTTCCTCACGCGCTTACAGATTTCCTCATGCCTTGCGTGCTCAAGTATTTTTGTACCCCTGTATTTATTTGCCTCATGTATAGAACTCCTAAAATACTTACTTCAAATATTTGAAATCGTAACTTTATTTGTAGCTTTTTCAAAGAATTGCTGCTGAAATCAAAAGATAAAGCATCATTTACCAATAACTGATGCACCATACGCTATTTTTACTTTCATCCAAAATTATGTGTCTACAGAGTTCTGATAAGCAAGCTGTGCTTGCATTTCTCCTAAAATTGAGTGAATTGATCGAAGCTGAGCAAGAAGCTAGCCACTCGGACAGTAGTCTAGATTTTCGAAACAAGGTGCACACGACCCAAAAACGACTGATGAAGGACCTCCCACACAATTGGCTGAGTCGGAACTCACCAGCCATCAACTACCCTTCAACTGCTCCTTTAAGTTTTTCAAGCAGTAATGTTCAGCCAATTGCCTCATCCACTGTCATTGCTGGCAAGCAGAGGTACTTACACAGTCTTACTCAATTTTTAGTTTTGAGAGATCCAAATTTTAACAATCAGAAATTAGGTTCTTTTTACTCTTACATAGACAGCCCTGAGTTTATTGTCTCCAATAAGCTTTCTAACAGCACCAGAACGTTCCAGGACAAATATTAGCGAAGACGTTGGTCATCCTTATGAATACTGGCAATTTTCAGAAAATCAAACCCCTATAAAATTTTATCAGATGGTAAGAAAAATTTAAAATTGTTGGCTCTTTGCAATGTTTCGTCAAGAGAATAAATACACTAAGTCTAATTAAAATCGGAGAAGATCAGGACAAAAAAATCTCTATTTTGGCCTGATTTGGCATGGAATGACCCTTATAAATCCGAGTCTGAAGAAATGAGCTGCCATTAGAATTAGAGTCAGCTGTTAGCGTTAGATCCCCGTAACTCTTGCCTCTCCAGAATTTTTCTCCTGGTGAACAAATAAAACAGGTAATAAGTAACAGGATGGTAGAACTATGTTGGGGCCACGCTATTCTTCCAGATAATCATGGTCAAAATAATTCAAAAAATGTTCACTAGAGTCAGAAATTTGAACTCTAAGGAGGATTCTCTAATTGATCAGATTAAAGATAATTTTTATATTTCATTTAATTCTTATAATTCACTCAAATTTTATACTTTACTTAATTTTTCATATTTTTAAACTTCAATAAACGATTGATTTCCCTGCAGGATATGTAGTGTATGTTTACCCATACTATTCTACCATGCTTTTACTCACAGCTTGGATCAATTCTTTAGTGTTTTTTTTTTTTTTTTTTGGTAAGATAATAAGTAAACAAGACATTTTGTGTTCTAGCTCACAAGAACCCTGGAAGGTTTCTAACATAAAAAACACAACATCTTCTAGAAACATTCTATTGCCTGACAGGACAAAGAAAAAAACACCCATCTCGCTGGACCTAAATGCTGGGGTGCGCTCTGTCTGTTTGGTGAACAACCTACCTGTGAATCACTCCGTTTCTTGTGAGTTCTGAACGCTGTAATTTTCTGAGTAATCTTTTCCAGGGAGCCACCCATATCACTTTATTGGTCAAGGCAGTTTGTTACCAGCACTGAGGTCCCAAGTTCAATTCCTAATTTGGTGATGGGATTTTAGGGACACTCAAAAATCCATCCCAGATTATGCATTGTGTGCACAACTGACAAGTCACCCAGGGGGTGCACATTATTCTAGATCACACGAAAAACTTTTGCATGAAATTCTGGAAGCCCTTGCCGATTTTATGGAAGCGCTATCACGCGCTTGATCCCTCTGCCAAAACCCAGTGTGTTCTAGAAACTTGCTAAATTCTCTTTGGAAATATCAGTTCTCGGGGAAGAAAATATTTCTCATGATAAGAAACTGTTCAATTCTGTTGACATTTTTTGAAATTTCCCGTACTACAAAAATGATGAAGTACTTGTCCAACAGTGGTACCAATATCTCAATTTTAAGTTCTTTTGGCAACAAGGTTCTGTTGCTCAGTAAAAGTCACAAATGGACTTAGTTTTGGAAAAGATCCGAGGATATCTTACGGGCAACCGAAATGGACTTTTGGCAAAGGTCTGCAGGGATCTTGCGGAAAGAGGGCGTTCGTAATGAACGAGTGCAAGGAATAATGGGAGTTGAGGAAGATATTGTGCACGATATCAAAACCAGGCAGCTGGTTTGGTATGGACACGTGCGAAGAATGGCAGATAGTAGGTTGCCCAGAAAGGTATTTGATTGGGTTCCTCCCGGAGGAAGGCAGCGTGGACGTCCAGTAAAAGGTTGGCAGGAGGGGGTGGAGGGGGAGATCAGACGGTGTAATCTGCCTGATGATTTGTGGGAGGATCGATTCCGATGGCGATTTGGAGTCGCAGAGCGCTCTAGTGCGCTGAGGTAGTGGCTTGATATATACATACTTAGTTTTGCAGCAAAGGATGATTACATCGTTCTCATTTCAGAAACAACACTTATTGCATTAGTTTCAATATGTAAATAGGTGCTTTCATGGATAGGCTAGAAATAGTGGTTCCCTATCACCGTAGTCCAAATGGGCAAATTTCATATTTGTATTATTAGAGCAACTACATACATTTTTAAAGACTCGCAATTGCTCATTATTCTGCACAGATAAAACAGATGTTCCGGAAGCAGTGATCATCAAAGAACTGATATTTTGCTTTCAAGGCATTGAAGGGCAAGTCATCAAACATGATCCATCCTCTGAAGGATATATCATCGATCCTAAGGTAAATTCTCAAGATTTTCTTTTCTGACTACGATATTCAGTGATTATAATCAATGATATTCTAATAAAATGTGTATCATGAAAAAAGATTTTAGTATATTTCTCCATCAGCTGTCTCAGTAGAAGATACACAGTAATTGAGACACACATGAAATAAAGTTTGATTCTAACTGAGTTTCAACTTACACCAATACAGCACAGAATTTATAGGCTACACCAACAGAAGGTCCACTCCTCTTTACTCCAATATATCGCATTTGGTACTTCCCAGGTCATTGCATTATTGCCAAATAAATGCATTCAAGTAAAAAAGTAGGGGTAGGAAAGAGTCTGTTCTGCCAAAGAAACCGACATCGAAGGCTGCCCAAGACTCAGGACAATACCGAAAATGTAAATAATGCTTTCTAGCTGGGTTCTTCTGCTTCAACATGGAAGTGCCGGGAGTGAACCGTTTGTTGGCGTTAGCCTATATATTCTGTGAATGCAGTAGAGCCTTGATTATCCAGTAGGGTGGAGCGAAAAAATCGAATTTCGCGGGAGGAGCGGGTCTCATTGAAAAAAAGTTGTCAAATGGGTCCAATATGACGTACAAGAAATTTCGCCGCATAAAATTGACCCCCTCCCATTCCATAGTGGCCTTAAAGGCCTAAAATTTCAGTATGAGATATCATGGTTTCNACTTTTGCTAGAGTAAAAATAAGAGTTGTTCCTCATGGATAATGTCTCAAAAATCTCAATGAGCGCATCGGCAAACTCTGGAATGCACTCCTAACTTCACAATCTGCGTAAAAAAATTGCGTTTTTTTAAGCTTCCTGCTTAAAAAAAACGCAAAAAAGGATACTGCAGCACAGGTGAACATTTCGTTAGAGGAGTTGTTCCATTCAATTCCTGCTCATTATGGCCGACGCATCCGCTCGTAGGTTGAGGAGAGCACGAAGCCAAGCAAGGCAGATATCTATCAACAGGAGAAAAATGAGAATGTAAAAACGCCAATTTTTATCAGGTGGTTAGAATCATTGTCCTGTCACATGTGTTTTGGCAGATTGGCATTGGTTTTGTTGAATATTGCGTAGTATCCTTGTGAGCAGGGGTTGGATGGAATGACTCCTCTATCAAAATGTTCACCTGTGCTGTGGTATCGTTGTTAAGGCGGGAAGCTCGAAAAAACGGAAATTTGTAATGCAAATTGTGAAACAAGGAGTCCATTTCAGACTGTGCTGATGCGCTCATTGTGATTGTTGAGACATTTTTTATGAGTAACAACTCTTATTTTTGCTCTAGCAAAAGTTTGTAACAGGCTCATTGTTGCACCTATCATTCGCAATAATCAGATTTAAGCTGTATTTCCTCTATTAATCATCAAAATAGAGCTTGGTGGATTGAAGAACCTTGCAGCGCTACTTCAACTCTTCCTGATTGCAGACCTTGTCATGGACAAATAATCTCCTTGGTTGAAATTGCAGCTTCATGCCAAAAATTTGCATAAGAAAACATGGGATGACTTCCTTGAATAATAGAGGTTATACTGTTATGGTTAAATGGACTGCATTTTGCAATTTGGACCTATAAATTCTGGCTCATCAGAAAAAACACGTATGTGCATAGAGACTCTAATGGCACATACATTGCTTTTAAACCGGGCCGGAATTTATAGGTCCAAATTGCAAAATGTAGTCCAAATGTAAATGTCATGGATATTTTTGCTTCAAAATCAATACCACCAAAGTGGAATTCCTAAAATTTCCCAAAGGAGGAGCCACAGCTCCTATTTGAACAGTTAGAATGAAGAGTCAGTTGAGGACGACTAAGTCTTTAATTGCTACTCGGGCAAACCCTGGTGAAATTCCACTTCCTGAAGGACAATCAAGTTGTTTGTTTCATTGCACAATGAATATTATTATTGCTAACAATAAGTCAGGTTCGCCAAAAATTTCATCACAATTATTTTCCAACCCAAAATTTTTTTTATATTTTGCATAATACAAAAATTAATGTTCAACTTTGAGAACTACCTAAACTTGATAAATTATCCAGTTTTCAGCTGATGTTTTCTTAGACAGTGTCTGAACTTTTTATTCAAATCTGAAGAACTTATATTGCTAGATTTACTGGAGCCTTTTTTTTTCCAGGCTAAAGTCACTAATGTAGTAGCAGTTTTACGCTTGATGGAGCTTGGCTACCTGCACAATGTAATTAAAAAATTTGTGGAGTCCTCGCAAGGGAAATCATCTATTCAGCGAGGTCTAGTGATGTCACTCCGTGAAGAATTGATGGAATTTTATAAACTTGTCTCAAGGCTTCACTCAGAGGTTTGTAAATTGTTAAATTAATCAATTTATTTTGTCGTTCCTAGCAAAAAGGAAGGTATCTTGTCAGCGCCGTTTCTGTACAAATAGGGGAGAATCAGGTAAAGAGAGACTGGGGTAATGGGAAACTTTTGCTCCTGCTGCTGCCTATTTGAGATTTAAGTAATGAGACAAGAAGGAATGGACTCTTGGTCCATTTCTACGTTCTTGTACATATTCTGGACTGGATCGGACAACAATGGACCGCGAGAAGTGCATGTAAACATAACCTCTTTTTTGAACTGTGTTTCTAAGTTCGTCTCGTGCTGCAGTTTTCATGGATTTTGGAAAGTAAATTTTACTAAAAAAAAAAAAAATTATACCATTTTGTAGCTTAGGATATGTACTAGATGGCTATATTTTTTGTTTTATGCTATTCACAAATTTACAAGTCTAGCAGCAAAAGTCTCTCTTTATCCCGGATCGTACTTTTTCCAGGACAAAGAGAGACTTGGGATTTTTTTTCTCCAGGAGGGTAATGAGAGATTGTGTGAACTTCCCGTAGTCCAATTTCAAAACCCCGTAACTCATTCACATTTTGTCCGATTGACCTGAAATTTGAAATGGTAATCAAACTCTATTAGTAGAACACTCTCATTGCCCTGCCATATTTTTCCAGTGCAATGTAAAGGGCAATCCAGACCACGTCTCTCTTTACACCGTAATGGTGAAGAGAGACATGAAAAATGAGAAAAAGAAAAAAAATTTAAAAAAATACTTTCTGTTGCAGTGATAGAGATGAAACTTTGGGTAATAAGTTCTCATAAGGTAACTAATGTACCCTGATTTTCTCAATTTGTAAACTCAAACAGGGAGCTCAGAAACAGGGGGGTATGTCTCTCCTTACTCTGTTCGTCTCTCATTACCTGGCTCTTCCCTATGAACATTTTATTTTTTCATGGGAGTAAGTGAAAGGTGTGAAGCATAAGTGTAGAGAAAAAATCATTGAAAATTTTAAGCAAATTCATGTGACAATCCTCCTTTAAAAAAATTAAATGTCAGTAAGGAATACTAAAATAGCGTAATCGAGGTACATTCCTTCATGCAGAAGACGACAATGTACGAGTGTCATTAAGGTGGTTGAACAACTTTACCTCTGCGTTATGCCATCTCTTTGATTTTCAAGACTTCTCTTTTTAAGATACTTTTAATATCCGAAATTGAAGCCATTCTGTTGTGTGTTACGTATTAATAGGCAAAATTTGGTTATTAGATAATTTAAAAAATCTTGGATACTGTGTCTTAAGTGAAAATGGCGAATACAGAGACATAAGGATTCACGATATTTACTTGGATGATATATTTGGAGTTATTACACACTGATTACTCTTCGCATGTTTATTGATGAGGTGGTTACCAGGGATGCAGAAAGCTCAGAGGACTTCCAAAAAAATCCAGTGGGCTTCCCCTGTTTCACTTAAAGGTTCCTCCATTTCAAGCAAGCAGGCCAAGCTCATAGTTGAGAGGTTTTTCTGTCCCAATGTGGTGCTAAAAAATCATTAGAATTTAAAAAGTTACCTACAAAATTATGGATGTTTCAAGGGTTCTTATAAAAAAATGTTTAAAATTCTATCGATCATTCAATCCTAATCATCAATTGACCACAAACTTTTGCGATCAGACTTACAATTTGTTTCAGCAGATGGAAATTTTCATTAAAGAGAGGAAAAGCTTATTGAAGCACAATTTTCTTATTTGAGGGATATGGTGGGAGCTAAACTGTAAAACTTCTCTGTGTTTACTCAGTATTTGGTTTTTATTTTAAAAATAATCCACAGGTCACTCAAGATGAAGAAATTCTGGTGGCAGACACTCCAATGAGTGAGGAGAACTTGCGCGTGGCGCGTACACCGCATTTGGAAAGTCTGACTCTACGTAGGCTCCTCCTTCGAACAGATGCGGCATTCTTAAGGCTCATGATCCTTGTTGACCTCATTGAGGAGTTGAAAAAGTGTCATGGTGGGAAAATAATCTCTGTCATCCACAGATTCTCACATTATGGATACCCTGAGCTTACACCGGTTTTCTCCCGCCTTTTACATACGGTAAGAGTTTGTGGTGTTGAGAGAATGTTAAACATCAGAGCCTCTACAAGGTTGAATTTTCAAGGTAAAAGTTAAGGTACTCTGAGTAAAGGACTCTTTGAGCTAAATATTTGGAAATATAACAAAAAAATAAAATTTTGCCTGGGTATTCAAAATTAGATATGAAATTCGAAGATGGGACGTATTATATCCCTCGGCAATGTTATAGTAAGCTCTCTGTGTTTTAAAGGTCAAAAATTTGGCACACATTTGAAAAGTGTGCCATATTAAGAATCTTGGACTTTAAAAGAAAGTTTTCATAATCTTCCCACATATTCTTGCGTTTTCCTCAAATTCAAGACTTACTTTGATCCAAGGCACAAACAGTGCCTAATCTTACATTTTTTTCCTTCATCCAGTTTTAAATTAATATGAGTTCAACTTGTACTGAAAAAAATACCTGGATCCTCAGGAATATTTTAAATGTTTTATGTTTCAGGAGTTTCATTTGACAGTTGACCTGTAAATTCTTGTGCATACTTATTTTCAAACTACTGTTCACGTTTTTTCAGACAACTCATTCACTGCTTGTTTTGATGAGCCATTGGATCGTCGATGGTACCTTGTTCGATCCGTTTGATGAATTTTTTGTAGCCCACAATAAATTAAGTCAGGGTGTTTCATCTTGGGATTCTCAATTCATCCTCAGGTTTGTAATCAGGATTTTTGCATAATTACAAGGCTTAGAGTATTCAAAAAATATCCAGAGCTTCCAGTTCAGGAGGGTTTTCATCTCATGAACAAAGTGCTCCACTCCAACTATTTATGGTGTCAACTAACGTTGCTTGTTTTTATCTTGTTTTTTCCCCCTCACTAGGAAACAATAATTTTCTCAAAAAAGGAAAAAGGATGAAACTATCATTCTTTTTATTTTCCAGTAGCAGCACATGCAAAAGGCAAGAAAGAGCGGCTGCCCCCTCAAAGTCTCAGAATGTTAACAATTTTACCAGGAAGAAAACTGAAAATGTTGTTCTAATGGTGACTAATTTTCAACGTTTGTCCTGCAGAGGTTTCCCATCGTCGGAGGGGCCCTCCTCCCTATCCCTCGGTCTCATTTTTCCAAATTTTGTCCCTCAAAGTTTCCACTCATGCCTTGCCTCTGTTATCCATCACCTCTCGCAAAACATATAGTCTAAATTGTACGTTTTTGTGCACCAGGGAGGAAATGATACCAGACTTTATATCTAAAGAGGAGGCAGCTTACGTTTTGCAAGCCGGTCGTTGCATATATTTCTTGAATGAAATCTGTAATGAAAAGACGGAAGTGTCCAAAGCTCGGAGATCCTTTCAACAACTTGAAAATAGCGGTGGTAAGTCTTCGTCATCTAGTCATTGTTACTATGTACCTTCAATTTTTTGTCTCTGTGCTCAGGAGCTCTTTATCAACCTTATGCTTTTTCGTAGTGCAAACAAAAAGTTCAAACCTTCGTAAACCAATGCCAACCAAAGGTAATGTTTTACTCCATTATGTCATCACGATTGTCAGCCTCTGGTCAGTCAGATTTGGTCAGGTTTTCCCCTTTTGAAAGTCCTTTTTTGGATTTTTAAACAGACTTTTTGATTTTTTAATGGAATAGTACATGAGAAGCACCTGTCATGTACACACTCTGTAGAAATGTTATGCCACTGACCCATTGACATGATGATATCAATTTCCTTCTCTACCCAACAGGTGACCTTTTACCAATGATGGAGCCGTTCAACTCTATCACAGAATTGATAGAAAGAGCTCATGAAGAATCCTCAAAGTTAGTCTTAGATATTTTGTGCCAGAAATTCAACCTATATGAGCATCTTCATGGTTTGCGCAAATACATGCTGCTCGGCCAAGGAGACTTCATTCGGTATTTGATGGAAATGATCGAGTAAGTAAAGAAAAGTTGCCATTGAATCATGAGAGGATGCACACGCATATCTTGTTTTGTTTCGTTGTTGTATCGTTTTCAACAGGGAATCAACAGTAGAACGCCATTTTCAGTATTTTCAGAAGAAAATTTCTCTGAAGCAACACTTTAATGAGAAATGGCTAGCAGGGACTTGAGAAAATGAATGTTGTTTCCGGGAAAACTTTACTTCAAGAAATGTCATAACAAGATACAACTGTAATTAAATAACAGTGACCTTTAAACCAAGGATAGCACATTGGATTGCTATAAATTGGACTTAACATTTATTCAGAAGATCCTAACCATCCGTGAAGGGTGTGAAACCTCAGGGGTGAGCACTGAGCACTGCTCTGTTCAAGAGTAAAGTTGTGCTAGCGTTTGAATGTTCATAAATTTTCTTTGACAAAAACAAATTTTCTGGAAACTGAATTTTTCACTTTGAGATTTTCAGAGAGTTTTTAAGCAGTTTTATCTTCAGTATCTGAACATTTCAAAAAAACCATATTTATAATGCTTTCCAAGAATAAATACTCAATCAGAGATAAATTTGAAACATCCTTCGTTTGTAGCATAACTTAGTAGTCTTTTTGCCATTATTATGCAGCATTACAGACAGTGATGTTCAGCATGGCTTTATGTAAGAAGAAAGCTTTTTGTAGCAGCACTTTATTTTTGTAAAATAAACTGAGAAATATATACTTTTTTTCCATTTTATTTTACATTTTTCAACTAAAAAGCTTTCACTTATCATTACCAACAGTAACTAAAACTCATTCAACTAATTTTGAACGCATTCTGTGGCATCTTTGGAAAACTCGAGAGGAGAAGAAGATCTAAGAGATCATAAATATTAAAGTCCCAACTAGTCGTGATTAGGTGGAGACTTCTGAAGACTCTTTTTATTATCCTTTGGTTATACTCCTCATCTTTCTTGGGTGATCTTCTAGCTCATTTTCTGTTTCCTTTTAACTTTTTTCTTAATGGTTGCTTCATTTTGTTTTCAGGCACAAATTGGATGGATCAGCGCACATTTTGTATCAACACAATTTACAAAGTATTTTAGAAACAGCTATACGATCAACCAATGCTCAATTTGACAACATAGTCATTCTGAACAGCCTCATTGTCAAAATAATGACTCCAAATGACGGAGATTTTGGTTGGGATGTTTTCCGTCTGGAGTACGAGTTGAATGGTCCTCTGGCAACTGTGAGTTGCTAAGTTTGTTTTCTTGCTTTTCTTCGACTCAGTAAAATCGCCGCTTTTCTGATATAAGGGCGTATCTCAGTTTCTTTGTGAGCCCTTTTTTACCCAAAAACTTATACTTTCTGGGGCTCATGCAGAAAACAAGGTACGTCCCCACATTAGAAGAAGGATGAAATGTGACAGAATCCTAACCTTAGCACAATAGTAGGATGAAAAATGATGAATGCAACCAATTAAAGAATCTTAATTTCAAAGCTAATGGTCAATAACATATTTTTACCTACTTCGTTTTATTTTTCAAAGAAAGGAGCTAACTTTTCACCATCTCATAATTTGTGGGACACAGCCAGTTTTCTCTCTCGCTCTTTTTTTTTTTCTTTTCTTTTTTTGAATCACACATTTTTTCATTTATTGGGCTGTTGGATAAGATTTTATTTTACAACTGCATTCTTACAATCAAAAAAGAAAATGAATGAAGACACTTTGTTTCTATCATGTTGAACAATCTACAGATTCTGTCTTTCTATCTTCCATCTCTCTGTCCTTGCTGCTGAATTAATCTTTGGTTTATAAATTTACAGATTTTCAAGAAAAATGAAGTGGAGTACAGCCAGTTATTCAATTTTCTTTGGAATATAAAGAGGCTTGAGTATGTTTTATCCAAATTGTGGCGCAATCAAAGCCTTATCAATAAATCTTCCATTTTGCTCACTGGTAAGTAAACTACTTTTCTCCCCAAAATGTTTGAAGAGGGCATTTGGACTCAGAGCTTTGTATTGAGATAGTAGCAAATGTTAAGACTTGCAAGAACCACCCTGGCAAGACCGAACCTCTAAGCGATCCAATTAATAAGAGTCAGAAATTTTTCTGGTAATCCATAATTTTCTTAATTTTTTTTGGGCAGTACCATCTTTTTATAATGATGATTGATGATTTTGTGTCCAATGTTTTGTTGAAGCGGTAGCGTTCTCAGCTGTCCAGAAAAGTCAGGAAGTCGGAAGAAAAAATCAGAGAATTTTGCAGGTAGTATGTCGGCTTATCACAGTAGTGCTGCTTTCCAGTTGACAACACTGATTTTGCTCTATTTAAATCCATCAAGAACATCAATTCTAGGTGAGGCCATCTACAACTCTAGAGCCTTTGGCTGTAATTTGAATCTCTTGTAACAGGAATGCTTCTTGTTACAGAATTGAAGTCTGTTTTCGTTTTGAGCTGTTCTTTGATCAGCGAGATGGTCCATTTCATCCATCAACTTCAATACTACTTCCTGACGGAGGTGCTCGAGACTCAGTGGCACGAATTCGAGCAAGTTGTCAACAAAGCAGGGTCGCTAGAAGAGGTTGTGGAAGCACATGATCTTTTCCTGCGCAAAATCAAAAGTGGTCTGCTCCAAGATAGGAATTCAGGGGTGAGTACTTGTTTAAAAGACTTGTTCTGAAATACTTTCAGGAGTGAAAAAGGAACAGGAACCACATTCAAACTTTCATTTGCTTGTATATTGAAACAAGGTTTTTGTAGAAGTGTCCTTTCTGCACTGTACAATAATCCCAAGAGGCTCTTGGTCTAGGTACAATTTTTCTAAAGATGGAGAACTAAATTCATCCTTCAGTTTGGTCATTAAAATGACAAAAGCAAATTTTGGTAGTTGGCAAAATCTATCGTAAGTTTTAGTTCTCTTCTCATTTTTTTTTTTTTTTTTTTTTTTTTTTTTTTTTTTTTTTTTATTTGATTTGTAAAACATTAAAGAAGTTTGAAATGCAAAGCATCATGCCTCATAGGCTTATACGTTGGAGGTTGCTGCCATGGGAGATCATCCCTACATTTCTTGGAATGAAATATTTACTTTCAAGAAAAATTGGTAAAGACCTTCTTTGGCGCACAGTAGGTAAAATTCTAGGAATATTTTACAAAAAAAGTACCCAAAATTGTTCTAATAAATAAATATTTTATCATTTGGGGGCTCATGTGAAATTTTATCTCACTCTCCACTAACATAATCAGCTTCTATGATTTTTTGCATTACAAGGGTCAAAATGAAAGATGCTCAACTATTTCAGCATTACATCTAAAATGAGAAACGTTCTTATATCTCTCTCAAGTATATGAGTTCTCAAGTCTTCAAATAGAGACATCAATTATTGAAATTTAGGATTTTAAGCGCTTAGCCAATAGGGAGCACTTTTTCATTTCAACCTGCCTCTAGAATTCTAGTATACTAGGGGCAATGCAGTCAAGTGGAGCACCACCCCATCAACAAGATGGCGAAGAGGGGTCTAACATATTTAAAATAAATTAATCAGTGATACCTTTATTTAATGCTTCTGATTTCAAAGCAAGGAGGACGTTAATCGTCTTTCTATAATTTATTTTTTTCGCGGTAGTAGAGTTTTCTCAAAATTGATAGTTGAAATTTTGGTGAACGAGTTCTTTCATCTCAATGGTGCACATCTTCTTAAGGGAACTTAAAAACGCACCTGCGTATAAAACTGCTGAGCGCCTCCATAATAAAAACGTATTAGAGCTTTCCTGCTTGTTTTTACTTGTCAATAGAATGTTGAAACGAAATACATAACCAGCAGTAACATATCTAGATTAAAACTACTGCCGCAGCCGCTAATCCTGTTTCTCCTGAAGTCACATATTTACAAAAAAATTAAATCGAAAATTGACCACTCCACTGGCAGAAAAAAAGCAGAAATCTCCATGGGTATTTCCTCAGCAAAAATTATTTTTTTGTGGTTCTTCATCAAAATGCCCTGAATTTCACTCTTCCAATAATTCTTCAATATTATTTTGATGTAACGAAATTATTTTCATTTGTTTCAGAGTTTTAATTTACACATGTCACTAGTAAAAGATCAGATTTTAGAAGTGAAAACTGTCCAATCTAGGTTCATAGAACTGGTTTCTGATGAGACTGAAAGGCGTTTAGAAAGACAAAGGATTGTTGCGGAAGTAGGAACAAGCATAGAAGAAGAAATGCACAATGACAAGTGTTTATGCGAATTCGTAGATAAACTCAAGTCAATCAAAGCACAATTTTCTATTATTTCGAAAAGTTATCAGGTAAATACTGCAAGTTATAATCTCTTATGCTTAAATTTTCATTTTAAAAAACCACAAAATTTGACACTAATTTATGTTGGAACTCTTAATTATTTGCATTTTTTTTTTTAAATTGTATTGGGGTTGTGCGAATAGTGAATTTTTCAAACGAAGCGAATAACGAATAATTAACTTCAATCATTCTCAACTACGAATAGTAAAATGAATAATTTAAAATGACTTTTTCAAGTGCGAAAATTCACAAATATTACAAAACTTGAACGATAAGTGTGATTAATTTTTTTAAGAATTTTCCATTTGCTCATACACCTGCACAGAAAACAATAAAATACTGTGGCAGAACCTAGCATAGGCTGTTAAGAATGAGTTAGAATATTCCTGGATGCTGGCTTGACTGTTCCTGCAGTTATGTATGCATTCCCAAGATTTGAAAGTAACTGCGCGGGCAGTAAAGCTAGTATATAAGGATCACCAGACACATTTTTAGTATTTTATTTTTTTCAGTGTTGATGAAAATGTGTTCATGAACTTTTCCGTCTTGGTTATTTAACTTTCAATGTGTTACTCGTGGAGCAACCAAGATACGCGGGCCATTCGCAATCGCGCGCGCTGTTGGTAAACTCGGCAAAGTCAATAAAGATCAAAGGAGATCTGCTGTTTGCGATGTCTCGGATGTAGGCCTTGCTCAGGTCCTCGCACAGTTTCACGATTACCACTCGAAAATTCGTTATTTTTGACGGCGCGAATATTTGAAAATTTGTTATTCCAGGCGGCGTTAATATTTGAAAATGTTGATTCTAAAATTCACTATTTGCAATTTGCGAATAGTGCACAAGTCAGACGAAGAGAATATCGGCACAGCCCTAAATTGTATCCTAAGCTATAGCTCTGCTTGGGGTGTCCAAGTAGTGTAAAATGCATTATCCAGTAGTGGTGCATCTGATGATGGTGCAGTGTGTGTAACTTTAAACCAAATCAAAGTTATGATGATTTGAAGTTTGTCGTTTAAATATCTTAATTTTTTGAAAAAGCAATCGGAAGTTCTGATCTACCTTGTTAGGGGCTTAAAATTGTTAAATTTAAATGCAGTTTGATGTCTATGATTGGTAAATAAATTAAGCAAACGGACAGCAAATTATCCTCAAGAAATTGTTTCTTTCTCTTTTTTTAGCTCTTCCAAAAGAGTCTGTAGTAAGTATGGACCGTGAACGGTCACACCTTATGTGCTAAACGCTAATTCATTCAGCTAAGCTCGAGGGATGTTTATCGTAGAAAATTAAAAAATGTGTGTTCCTGTCCTCAAATGAATTATGTCATTTCTTTCTGTTGTGCTCGATTTTTTAGAGTTCTCTTATTATTTTTCAGGAATTTCTGCGAAAATTACTTCTTGATCTGTCGAAACATCCATTGATTGAAGTGCAAATGCTCAGTAGTCGGATCGATTTCAATGAGTTCTACAAGAAAAACGATTCTCAACTATCTGAATCGATAAAACTAAGCAGTCGAAAAGAACGTTTCCAAACTTTTGATGAACTGTGATTTGTGAGGTGTATGCCTGGTTATCCTCATTGACTGTTACCATCGTCGTTGTTTTAATATTTTCTTGTCTTACCATTACTTTCAATGTTCTTCGAGATTATAGAAATCCAGAATCCAGAGAATTTGAATATTTTATGCCTATTTTTGAGATAGGAGAAAACTATTTGGTTTTATTTAATGTTGACAAAGCTAAGTGTCCTCCAGTGAATCATGAAAAGATAAAAGTGTGAAATCGAAATACAAGCAAAAGCAGGCCTATTTTGAATATAGTTGGTTAAAATAAGTGTTCTAACCTCACCTTAAAATTTTAGGAGCTTTTTGGCCAAAAAGCCATTATGTATCATCCCCGAATTTCTAGGGGTCTTGAAGATTCTTGATCATGAATCAAGAAACTTTGCTCAGAGCAAGGTTGTAACAAAAATCAAGGGTGCACTAATTTTTCGGGTGCATCATGCCCAGTGAAGTTAGATTAGAGGTTGAAATACTCCATGCCATTATTGTATGTGTGCAGAAATAGATCCTAAACGCACCATTTGTGCCCTAGGTACCGTTTTTTTAAGCAAATTACTTTCGCTGCTGAGGTCAACCTGCCTGGCAGAACATAGCATTTGCTAGAATGAATTTATTTTGGGCAATGATGTGCCATATTTGGCTGTAGGTCTCTGTACTAACTTATTCTTCCAGAAATGCATCATCATTTTTGTAGGGAAATGTAGTCTTCCTAATTTTAAATATGGATAAATGAACAATTGATTCCTCCACAAGTACAATATTTCCCTAGCGGACATTAAAGTTAATATGTACTGGAAATGAATTAAGTCATATTTTGAAACTGTCAAGCACTCCAGAGCAAGGTAGGACGATTGGTGATACGCTTCTGATACTGAGTTCCATCCAAAAAAGTGTTCAGGTGAAAATGTATAACATTAAAACTGAGAGATCGGTAAATTTTTTAACTATAGGGTCAGTTAACGTTTTTACTCAAAATTTTTGATAATCACCATGAATTAAATCAACTAACTTTGGAAAACACTTGCAACCCCCGATTTCTCCACAACCTGCCATGTTAAAATTGCTGTATGAAAAGTTGATCCCAGCTGGATCCCAACGCTCTGCTGACAGAAGGATAGAAAACGACGGTTTGAAGATTGCCTTCAGCAGCGCTCCAGTGCATAGCGACTGTAATGTACGCTATGAATATTTCTAAAAAATGGGAAAAGACAAAAAATAAACCCAAGGGTCTATGCTAGCAGGAAAAATCTTCATTTTCAGTTCCACCATAATTTTTAAAAATAACAGTCAAAAGAGTTAAAAAATTACAATGACCAATTGACCAAACATTCGTATTTTTAGTTTACATATAAAAAAAAAACTTGTTTTCAAAATATTTACTGCAAATGAAGCCTTCATTTTTAATTGAAAAATTGGAATTTTCGAGATTTTCACAGGGCAACGTTGGTGCATGGATAAGCAAGCATCAATTTAAGCCTTGAAATTTTCAAGAAAGGAATATTCTCATATTATGAATATCACCTAAAAATTGGTCTATATTCAAGGGAGGGAGGAATAGAAAATGTCGATTTAGAAACAAGCTCTTTATAATACTCATAATTTATGTTAAAAATTATTTTCATAATATATTCAAGTGAACCTGATTAGTGCCATCCCTCAGAATGTATTCCAGAAAACCATGTCCATATAATCATGTGATCTTCAATAGTTATTATTTTTTTTTTTTTCATTCATTGTCATGTTATGTAGTTCCAGTGCAGAGAATTCGATCTGACCATTTTCCCAATTCTCTGTTGAGTTTAATGATCCTCATATTTTAGCTTAGATGTAACTTTAAACTGATTTGTCCTGTTCTAAGGATTTGTTACTTGTTCTTCCAAATGCATATTCCTGTCAAATCTACATTATTTAAATTTCAAAATAAATTAATCCCATTCTAGGTTGTAGTTTCTCCGTATATTTACTTGAAGCCTCTCCTTTGCTTGTTTCAGTAACAGTGGAGTGAAGTCATTGACAAAAAAAATAGTCACATTGACAGGTTTTCAATTATGGCCAATTTTCTCAAGAGGGTCAAGAAAAAAACACCATCCAAATTCGTTCATACCTCTGTTAAAACACCTTCATCTTGACATATTTTGTAAAGAGGACTAAACAAAGATTATTCATTATTTAATGAGTGTTTCATTGTTCACCAAATAGTCTTAGAAATTTTGAAAAGTGAAATGTGCAATCAATTTTTCAAAACATGATACATTTTTGGAAGGAACTTTAAACTTTCAAGAACATGAACTTTGATTTGGCTACTGACATATTTGAAACAGCGTAGAGCTGCCAGATAATGAAGATAATTATAATTTTGACAGTACTAAAGCTTCGGTTCCATCTGAACATTGAAATCCCCAAGATAGGGACAAACTTAAAAGGAACAGACTGGCAGCATAAATGAAGAGATCGATTTAGAAAACAAAACTTTCATTTAATAACCAAAGATAGTAGACTTTACAACTTGCACTTACGGTTAACTTACAGCTAGATCGGACATTTATGAACAGAAAAGGTAAATTTATACTGCGAGAAGGAGAAGAAAGTAGCTTGCATGTACAGTCAAAACTAACTTCATCCAAGCATGCATGACCAAGGCACCTAGATGTTCATTTTCTTTAACACTTCAAAAGCTCTGTTTCTTTGATCTTCAACTGAAAAACATTTACATAAATTTAGTGCAATTGGGCTTACTTATGCTAAAAAGAAGTATGCATAAACCAATTAAACCAAAAGGAAATATATCGATCACCAAAGTGCAAAACTACAAATCTCCATTGCATTGTTTCAAAATTTCCACTCCTACAATATTTTCTCGAAGAGCAACAAGCTAACTTTATATGTAGCTTGACATTTAAACAGATTATTCTGCTAACAGAGAAGAGAACTCGAGGAAGTTTTCGAGAAATTACTTGGAATAGTTTTCTGACAGTAAAATAATGTGCAACAGGAATTTTGCTGCATCGCAAACAAAGACACATGGTTTTGCACTTTCCCCATCAATATGTGCATAGGCATTGTGTTGTCTACAGTTCTTTATAACTATTTTATCTTCATATAGCTCCTTTTGGCATAAATACATTCAATTGGGACTTACTTTCAATTGGCATTAGTACTCGACAAAAAAGTGTGTAACAAGGTGGAGAAATGGGGCTGGGTCCACACCATTTCGCGGGGAAAACAAAGCCAAGAAGTTCCAAAAATTTCAATTAGAGCCAAATTTTTTTTTTTTTTTTTTTTGAGCTCTAATGATTAACAGTAAAAGTATTTTGGAACCACCTTTGGCACTGATTTTCTAAGACCTCATACAGGAGCAAGCTTGAAATTTTGCCATTCTAATACCTGAAATCTTTACCATCGTAATTTCCAGTTAAAATGCCTACCATGCTAACTAGAAAGCCAGGAAGGATTCACACAAATTAATAAATTATTTTGGCTTCTTAGATAATTTTTGAGGGTGAAGAATGACAGTGACATATTTGTTAAAATGAAATTCAAGACTCAAGTAGGCAGGTATACAAACAATTTTAATTGCTGTAGTTCAACTCTCAGGCCATTGTAAAGCGATAATAGCAAAAAGCCGCTTTCATTTCATTGAAATAGAAAATTCGTCGAGAATGACACCCACCCAGCTGAGATTATTGATTTCTTTATTAATTTATTTTTGGATGTTTGACCTGTGATAAGGCTTTGACTTTAACTCTGACAATAATAATTATTCACGATATTGACTCAAATCTGCAATGAATCGTCTTTTGCCCAAAAGAACGATATTTCCCCCACATGGTCATCTCTTCTGATTCTGACAAATATCATATTTTATCATCCATCGATCAAGATGCAGGGGTGGGGGGGGGTGGCGGCTAGATACTATCTTGTCAATTTCTGATGATCACGGGTCTACGCCTCATTGAGGTTCGGCGTTGCGGTGTTGCTGACAGTCAACCTACAAGGAAAAATCCGTATCCGTACATACGTTGCGAGGAATGCGGGCAGAACTCGGCCAAATGCGACAACGTTGATGTGAATCTCTTATCAACAAACAAAACCGGGCGGCAGTATTAAAAAAAAAACGATGGCAGGGTTGCCACAAAATTTGGAAAATTAAATTTTCTGACATTAAATTGCCTGATTTTCCTGACACATTTTGGTGAAATTCCCTGTCAATTGAATAAATGCCAGATTGTTAAAAAGACATCCAGTAAAAGCTCACTGAGTCGAACTATGCTTAAGACGAAATGCCGATTAAGTTGAATTTTTTGTTGGTCCCTAGACACATCTAAAGTTAAGTAGAGAAACCGTTAGGACAAATTTCCGCTCAAGTCGAATTTTTTGTCAGTCCCTACACAATTTGACTTAGCGAGCTTTCACCATAGTTAGAAATAGTTTAAGGGCAAAATTTGTGGTTCAAAACCTACTCGAGGAAGCAAATAAAAGTGACTTTACGATTTTTATCTGACATTTTCTTTACTTTCCCTGACAATTCCAGGTTATCCCTGACTTTTTAAAATTCCCTGACATTTCCCAGTATTCCCTTACAATTGCAACCCTGAATAGTGAAGAGGGTGTTGCATCCCTCTATGGATGTTTTTCCTTTTGACACAAAATAAATATGCCTCACTTTCACCCAGTTTTATCACCATTTCTTGACCTCAGGTTACGCAAAGAGGTTAGCCAGAGGGACCTTATCGCAATACAACCAGGAAAGTTTTCTTTGACAATTACTCATTTGTCTTCAAGAATTTGAAAAATTCATTGAAAAAATCAACAAAAAATCCCTGAAATTTTCAGTACAAAACTAACACTCATGATTGAGTACTGAAATAAGTAGTTCAGTGAGACTTTACAACAGTGCAATGAATCCGGTTCAAAGACCACCCAACTTTGAGTGGAAAAGTGTGCAGAATAAACAAAACTGAACTGAGCTAATGGTTTTCAATGATACGAAAATATTTTTGCTCTGTATTCTTAAGCCACCATAGCCAGACTGACAGTTGGTGGCATAATTGTTTGCGTTTTTTGCCTTGGAGATAAAGAAGACTGAAAATTCCAGAGATAGGTCAGTTTTAAACTGAAAGAGATTCGCCAACATCAACCTTAAGGGAGGTAAATAAAAACAAATAATAAAAAATATAACACATGGACAATTGCAGGTCAATGTGACAGAATGGTGGATTAAGGTCACATGAATTGAATTCCTTAATTGATGTTGTGATGAGACCAATCAAAATATTGTTTTGCAGAGGGGTTGAATTATCAAAATAGTCAGAAAAAGGTGTAAATTCAAGTCAGACGTGTAAGGGCTGTAAATGAGTCGGCTTTGGATGAGAAACCTCCTGGAAACTAGCATCCTGTTTACTTGATGTTGTTTCACTTAATTAAAAGTGGGTTTATTACAATTCAAGATAATCGGGAGCTTGCTAGAATTCAAAATCAGCTTGTTTAAAGTAAGATTACAATACAAGTTCCTTATAAACCTGATAGAAAATCATTTTTCACACAAGGAAATCACATTATAAAGTACCTTATGTACCTTGGTTTAGCAGAGAAATATTTGATTTGGGCGATATTTTAAAAGAAATTTTCCGTAAAAATTGAAGTCAACTTGATTACTGATCTAAATTTTCTTAGGAGTATTTTTCATAATTCTCTTCATTTTTCGTCTGAAATGGTGACTTTCACATGAAGAAGCTAAGCATGGGAATTTCGATCATTGATCAAAAAAAATCAGTCGAAGGCTTTAAATTGCTGAGACCTCCAAAACTTTTAAACTTTTATATCAACAGTGAAACTGCAAGAGAGCATATTTTAGTTCTAAATTTCCTGTCATACTTTATTTTTTTAACGAAAGACTATTTCACGTCATATTTTGAAAACTTCCATGATTCTTGGTGTGGATAATGTTCTGTTGAAATTTCGAACCATGATGTTGGTTTATTTTTTTTAAGATAGAGGAAAGAAAAATCAGTGTAAATCATGAAACACCAGAAAAAAATATGCATGTTTGCAGTTTAATTATTGATATGTGAATACTACTGTTTTCCAAATCAGAAACAAAGAACAAAATTGATTTTAGATGCAAATAAAAGAATTGATCCTCTTAGAAATATTGTTACACTTTCAGCAAAATTAAGACTAGTTGATATGAAATTCCACCCTTTTTGATTTTTTTCTACTTATCCTACCATACATGAAAAGTATTATACAAGTACAGTAAAAGCAAAAACTTACATAGTATTCTCCGCCAGGAGAGATCACAGCTCGCGATAAAATACAGAATCCTTTTTCAGTCTTCTTGCAGACTTGATTCTTCCCCGCTTAACTCCTCTAGAGAGTGAAACGGGCTCACTATCCTCATAAATCAACTTTCTGACCGACGTTCAATGGTATTTCTTTCAGTTGCGTTCTCAAACAAAGAAACTCTGCACAAACGCACATGATTGCTGTACAAGCAATATTTAGGACCCACCATGAAAAGGCGAATGGAAAATGTCCGTTGTAGTACCAGCAAGCCAATAGATGAATGAAGTGCGTTGTCACTGTGAAATCCAGACACAGTTTCGTTCTTTGTACTACAAACCATAAGCTGCAAGCTCTGTGAAATGAAAACAATTTTTTACAATTAATTTCTTTCAGCAAATTAAAAAGACCCAAACATATTGCCGTTAAAAAAATGACACTCAGCCAAAAAATCAAAATTGATCATGAGACAAAAAAATAGCTCCTAATTGGTTCAAAACCATGTTACTTTTGGAAATTTAAGAGACCCATGAAATTATGTAGAGCCCAAGGGTTATGATGTAGTCTATTCATAAAAAAAAAACTACCTCATAATTTGTACAAATAGTATTACAGCCTTAAAATTTAAAATTGTGACATTCGTATCACTGCTGAGAGGAGGGTTTTGTTTACGTAGAGGGTACTCTATGCCATGTTGAAAACAGCTAAAATGTGTCATCTTGAAGGTTTTCTGCTAATTCCTATTTATTAGGATTTTTATTCCATTGGAGTTGCATCCCCTTTACGCAATTCAATTTGGAGACTTTAGCTTGAGTCGTGACTCATGAATTCAATCTCTTTCCTTGAGACTAATGATAAAATTTAAAAACTATGCATTGCCATGAAAAAAAGCAAATGTAGGTGCGTTTACTCAACCAGTAGCTACTATCGTAGATAGGAGGGGCATCTAAGAAGTCTTTGCACCCCTCTCGCCATTTCCATATAAATAAACAAAGAGTATTTACAAAGCCTAGGATATACCTGACATGTACACACAAACCATAACTCACTTCATGCATTTGTCCTTAAGTAAATGCAAAACAGTTACATACGTTTGGTACGCGAGTGTGAGGTCTCCTGCCAATAAAGAGCAGTTTCTTTCTACCCCTCAAAGAATAAGTTCCCTCATGGGGAAACTGACTTAAAAGCAAGATCCTAAATAAAATAATAATGTTATTATGTGAAGTAATTATTTTACTTTTTGTATTATATTCTTTCAGTTCCAAACATGTTTGATAGAGAAGAATGGGCACTACAATGCCACGTGGGACGATTTTTCCACAGCATGGCGCCAAAAGTCTCTACAGTCGAACTTCATGAACCTGTTGGCCGCTAAATTTAAGAGAAAACTTTTATTTTATCCACCTTAGTTTTTAATTTGATTCCATAAGGAAATTATTACATTTTGAATTACAGAATATAACTCAACAGTGTACATATAAAACAACAGAAGTTATGGAGGAAGCTGTGGAATCCACAACTACAACCTTTCAATGCACTTAACACCTATAGGTTGCTTTCTACCATCAAACATGCTTGGAACTGGAAGAACATTATAAACGAAAAATAAGAAAGAGAAGTTTCACTTGATAAAATAAATGTTTAATTTAACTCCTGTACCTAATTTGGAATCTCCTGGCAAGGAATGCTACGCTTTGAACAGTAGAAAAATATTTCTCATTTTCGACAGGAGCCCTCACGCCGTAGAGTACTCGGCATTAAGGTTTGAATACATAAATCAAATTGTTGTTTAAGCAGACTTATCAAATATATTCTAAACTTCCCACAAATCTCAAGTTTTTAAAAGTTAAACTAATTTTGTAGAAATGGCAAGGAGAATGCGAAGGCTTGCTGAATGTCTCTTGTAGATGAAGAACAGTGGTTATAGAATACAATAATACAGGTAAAGAAACAAATCAACTTTTAAGATTCTCCTCCTGAGAATAACAGCACTGATTGCCTATTAGAACACAACTAAGCAAGAACGGAAGAAGTCCAAACTCAACTGCATTTTTTCAGGATTGCAGTGGTGCTTTGTTCTAGAAAACTGATTACCAAAATTAATGGGCATCTTGGTTATAACTTATAATAATTGTATTTATGGGACTTGAAAGAAAATTTCTCTGGGCCATCCAACCAACCAACTTTGGTCCATATGCCACAATGAAATTGCTCTACACACAGGTAAAACACTGTACTGTATTGGACATCAGAAATGTTTGCACAGGCTAATTCATATGCTTTAAAAAGATCTGGATTGAGCTATCCTCCTTTATTTAAGAGGTTGAACTTTTCTCTCTTGCTCCCTCATCTTTTACACCAATGGTTGTCTCACTAAAGAGTGACAGTATTTAGGATTTCAACCAGGCATTTAAGTATAAGGGCAGAGACTTAAATGGTATAAACTTACCCAGAGAGAGCATTCAAAACAAAAGCAATCACAATCATTTTACCGGAAAAGTCTCGGACATGCATTTCCTGAAAAGAAATAAAAAATGGAAACAAATCAAATTAACTATAGAGAACACAAACATTTAAAGTCTTCGAAATTAAGTAATGATTGAGTATGCTTTCAACAAGTTTTATGGAACTGGAAAACTTTTGACAGGCTTGACAAACTTCTATTGATACCTGAATGAATTTAAAAAGGTTCCTGTCAAATTATTTGATACTGAAAAAATTTGTAAACATTTTCTCAACCAGAAAAGGCACAGAAGTAGGAGAAATTCTTGAAAAATCATAATATAGATTGATTGACAATTGTTATTAACGGGTGATACATTTTAAGCCTGCCGGAAAAAAAAAAACCAGTTTGAAACAGAGAAAAAAACCAGTTTTGTATAAGAGGGGAACGCAAGCTATTTTTCAGGCTCTATAGAGATAGAAGGTCAAAAATGTATCTGGTTACACTAATATGGAAAAATGCTTCAATCTGAACATATTCCGGGCTGCTCTTTAGTGTCAGAGGTAGAGCATATAAACGTGTGCGGATGTGTTTTTAACATTGAATTTTGAGATGGCCTGCTGAAATCTTTGTTTAGAAAATGATTCAATGTTTATGGATTACTCATCATGCATTCCACATTTGGTGAGAAAAAAGCTGAGGCATTCAAAACTTCACCCTTAATTTTTCCTATGCCTGGTCAAATTTTGTGGACATTTTTAAGCACTTAAATAAATCCTAAAAATATTAGTTCATATTTTAAACATGAAGCATATTGAGTGACTTTACAGGTGACTCATAAATCATCCTATTAAACTATCCTCCTCCCCTCCTTTGGAATTATCACCCATGAAATCGTATCAGTAATGTGAAATTGAAAAAGATGAGACATTTCGTAGGACCAGTCTACCTAGAGAGATACATACTTGGATAAATCAGTGATTAAATAGATGGATGGACGGATGGATGGAAATGTCCTAAGCAGAGATATTTTAAACTTAATTCTTATATCATTTTCTCAGTTTTGAGACTTATTAGTTTTATAACCTGAAATTCATTCATTCTTTAATTCACACTTTGCGTACTTGAAATGTACCTGATATCGAAAAAGATGGTCCAGGGTTTTTGGTGTACCTAGGAGAAAACTCAAAATCGACAGCCATAATCCCAGCATGAAATAATACAAACTTTGGATAGCTATTATCTGCACTGAAATAAGCAGAGGATCCCACTGCGTGTTACGAAAGTGACCGGAGAGTTTAGCCATAGACTTCCTGTCTGGGCTAAACAGAGCAGTTGAACTGATCCCTCCACTGGAAAAAAGGGGCAAATTACTGCGGTTATCAACACATTTGTACATTCAAGATCAATGAGCATAGACTTGTATTTTCTTTTTAGGGCCATTACTAGGCTATGAGATGGCAACAATTCAAAATTAATTCGTAGCAAAGCATGTAAAATGAGGTAATCTCAGTAGTTCTTGCTTCTTCTTTGTAGTTAGTAGGAACTGTTATGCAAGGATTGGTTTGATACTGTTTCTTCGAGAGAAGACCTCTTCATTATCAGTCCAAATGCCTTAAAAATTATGCTCATGCTATCTCGATTTTTTTCAGAGCTAAAATAAACGTTAAAATTCAATGTTACGTGTATCAAATTGATCATTATTAGGTACTGCTAACCTTGACAAACACACAACAAAAGGTGAGTTGTCGAAGTAAACTTTGATTTTCTGTTAACTAAATGCAACTCAACTGTCCCATCATCCTCTTAAGATGGTTTAGTTGAAATGTTGGGGATCCATGAGTAATCACACAAGTCATCACTTAGTCATTCAGATGGAGTCTCACGACGCGATCGTTAGACATTAGGTGTGCAAGCAACGATAAAGCTAGGCATTAGTTTAAGTTTATTTCTAATGTTTGAGGTATTATCGATTGAAATAATGATCCAGTGTCATTGAAAAGAGATTACTATTAGAGCTGATGGTCTTTGTTTCTAACTAAAGTGAAGTCTATGCCAGATAAGTTTAAGCGCTTTGGAACTGCGACAGAAGGTCCTTTGACATCAGTTAGGCATTGAAAGTAAAGGCTAGAATCCAGATGATGGATCTTCCGACACAGTCTAAAAGTGCGTAAAGTTTTAATTGGCAATGACTGTAGCATGGCTCTACTGTCTTAGCAGTTAGAACATGTGATCTTTTCACTGACTCTAGACAAGTCCTTTCTTCCCAGCTTTCAAGTTAGAAAAAAAAAACCATTCACCATTGCCTCAGAGATATGGATGTGCCACAAAGGTCACCGGTCGAAAAACAAAAAATTTCTGGCATGAACATATTGATGGTGAAACTCCCAAACCACGTATTTTGTTTGGGACGTTTGGAAATATCAGCTCTCATTTTATTCTTTTTAAGAGGAACAAATCAACTTTATTCCTGGAATACCGGACCCTCAGGTGATAATTGACTCCAAAACAATCTCAGCAAGAACTGAAATCGAACTATACCAGGAACTAGAATCCCACATAATCAGTAATCAAATCTCATGTTAAACTCTCCATCATTTAGCGGTGGCTGTTTGTCTACACGACTAAGGCCAATGAACTATACCTAGAGTGCGCAAGCTCTCAAAAAAAAAAAAAAAACTTTTCACAGAATTTTTCTCGCACAGAGGAGAAAATTCGCTGAAAGTTTTAAGAAATGACGCTGAATAGTTTTTCAATTAAAAATTAAATTATGACAGAAAGTCTGCTGTGTCGCAAACTGAGATACATGGTTTGGAAGTTTCACCGTTGATATTTGATACATTAGATACATGCTTAATGGAATACTTACATCATGATGAAAAAGATGGTGCACTAATAGGAAGGAGGTAGTTGCAATCTTGAGTAAGTAATTGTAATTATATCTTTTGTGCCGAAGGAGGAAAGAGAAGTATAACCAGTTCAGGGAGACACAGGAATTATGTACACTTTCTCGAAAAGCACCAGAAAAATAACGAAGCCAAAGAAGAAAATAGAGAATTCCATCAACTAAACATTTAATACATATGTGTTGTAAGTATGCTAAAGCAAAATCCAGTTCTACGTTCCGTTTTCTCTGGTTCTAACATGATGACAATTCACAACATGTTACAAGAAAAGACAAATTAATTTAAATGTTAAAGTTACCATAATACCACATTACTTTCATAATATACCATAACCAAAAAAAACATAAACACGAAATAGTCTGGTATGACGTCACGAACACGAATGAATAATTCTATATGATTTTTTATCGATAAGACAGTTTTAAACTTGACCAATAGGATGTGGTGCAATAAAGCAAGGTTACCTTCTCATTTTATTACGTCATTGCTTTCAGCAGTCATTTAATTGGCTAATGTTAAAATACGTCATGACTACTTTCAACTCTGATTGGCCAAGGTACAGCCGGCATGCACTGTGACTGTGAGTGCAATGCGAAGATTTGCGGCATGTGTTCTCAGAAAGTCAGAATTCCATTCCAACGCTAGCGAGGCCAAGGTAGATGTAAATCTACCTTGAGCGAGGCGAGATTTTGATACCGTGAATTATAATCGAGAACTGCGAAGACATGGACAAAATCGAAATGTCACTCGGTAATTTCAACTTTTTTCTTTCCTCTAATCTTATCATCTCTAACTCATGAGATTCACTTCAATGAAGACTTCCAAGCCAACAGAAGGACATGCAGGGTTTGAGTGCATTGCACTATCTCCTTGTCGAAGCCTTTTCTCTTTTTATGCTGTTTGTCATTTACATNAGTCTGAATTCCATTCCAACGCTAGCGAGGCGAGATTTTGATACCGTGAATTATAATCGAGAACTGCGAAGACATGGACAAAATCGAAATGTCACTCGGTAATTTCAACTTTTTTCTTTCCTCTAATCTTATCATCTCTAACTCATGAGATTCACTTCAATGAAGACTTCCAAGCCAACAGAAGGACATGCAGGGTTTGAGTGCATTGCACTATCTCCTTGTCGAAGCCTTTTCTCTTTTTATGCTGTTTGTCATTTACATTAGAGCAGAACGAGTTGAACCTCTCGAAGTGAGTTTCTAGGTAATTATCTTGAAGATGAGCTCGCTGTCACCTCACCAACCTGCAATCAGTGCTGTTCAGAATAGGCCGAACTCTCATGACAGCACGAACCTGTATAAGTCGCATGGTTTGTGACCAATGCAATCTAAGGCTAGTGTTCCCAGGTGCGCCTATCTTACAAAGGCTGCAAGCTCTCTGGCTAGTCTATGCGAATCCATGCAGATTTGTCACTAGCACCCACAGGTGATAAATTTTGACCCCAGCTGCTCCTCGTTGCTCTTCGGACTGTTGTGAGCTTTCACCTCAAGCAAGTTTGTGCCCCTCTCCGACTCCATCACAATTTATTTTAGCTTCGATCTTAAAATCATGCCTCTGATCTTTTGTTCTAGATGACATAATTAAAGAAGAGAGTATACGGCCTAGATCAAGATCCAGGTCTAGATCAAGATCTAGATCTAGATCAAGATCTCAGTTCCGATCTAGATCTCAGTCCCGATCCAGATCTCAGTCCCGATCCAGGTCTCTGTCCCGAGCGAGATCTGAATACCGATCTAGATCCCACTCCAGGGCTCCATCTAGATCCCGATCAAGGGCAAGATCATGTGCCCCCGATAGCCCAAGTTTTTACGAGCAGCACAGCAGTAATTATCGGTAAGACATCACTCCTCATTATTTATTAATGGCCTAGGTGCACAAAAATGAAGTAGAATACACTTCATACTTTGATGAATAATGAATTTTATGTGGATATTATGAGTAGTTGAAAACTTTGTTTACTAGGAATGTCTGAAATCTTGCCTCTTTCCTGAGACATAGAGTTTACTTGTGGCAGTTGTGATGCAGAAACAAGATTATAAATAGGTACAGCATACTGATAGCCAAGGTGTAAAATCATGTATCTCCATTACCATGTTTCAAAATGTGGCAGAAGAACAGACCAACTTTAATGCTTGAAATTACTTAGTACAGAATATTCTTCCATTACGGAAGTGTTCCTGTAAATTTTGAAAAATCGCGTTGTCTAGTTTTCCAAAGAAAAATTATGAGTGGAAACTCAGCAATGCCACTGAGGGAGGTTTGCTGTTTCACACTTCAGCCTTCGATAAAAGTCTGCTTTGATCCTAGTTATCTGGCTCGAGAGAATGATCAAGAACACTGGTTGATTGAGGTCAGAAAAAATGTAATTTTTCTACCAGACAACAGTGGTCAGTCTTAGCAAATGCTTTGAATAACTGGTTTTCCCTCAAAAACCCAGACTGGTCCTGAAACTCAAGAACTGAACCACTCATTGAGACTATCTCGATTTTATTTTGTAGAGGATGTGAAGAGCCATGGATATCAAAATCATCTCATTCCACCAAAAATTGATAAAGTCAAGGTTGTTTGAAGTAGGGTGCATGCTAACCACTAAAGGTTTTTTTTCCTGTTCTCATTTTAAAAAAAAACACACAAATTGATTCTTGAAATATGTCCTGTGCTTTTGCCCATCAAGATCAACTTGGTAATATTTCCAATGATTCAATAACTTTGATGTGGCCAATTGTTACCAGATCGTGCCGAAAAATCAGCTCTTCTACTCTTCTTTATCTAAAATATCATTATTTTTTTTTGCATGACATGGCAACCTCTATTTGACCAGGATTCAGAAATTGTCATTAAATCGATCAGTTGTGCAAAGATCCCATATGCAGGTGCAGTTTCATTAGGCTTACTTATCTTGTATGGTATTTCCTGGTTTGTTTTCTTTTTTCTAGATCAGTGCCATGGTTATTACAACAAAAACTATGTTTATAATGGCAGTTTGAATGTAGGGTGCATGAAAATAGACTATGATTTATTTACACTATTTTACTCTCGCACAACAAAGTGACGGATGCCAGTCATCGCTAGGAATGACACAAATTGTGTTAGGGTTTTCCTCTACAACCAATTATATCCAAGAGATGACCTGATAATCACTTCTGAGACTTATGATTGGCAATAAATTGTTTTTTCACTGAACACTCTGGGTTCTGTTCAAGCTCCGTTTAGTGTAAACTGCATTTTTTTGCTCTGTGCCAGACTTGATGTCAATGTATGCGACCCTCAATAAAGCATAGCGAAATTATGTTCTTTTTTTAATTACTTGTCTTCTACCTTATTCAAAAAAATTTGTAAAGCAGCACAAAAAACTAAAAAACAAATTCGTGGAATATGTATGGGCAAAAAACAAATCTACGAACAGGAACTTTGTAAATTTAGGTGCTAGTGACTGATTGACACACTTCTGCATCAATACCATGGTTATGTTCCGAGTTGGGCATGGTCAACAAGGAGGCAGCGCTGGTTGTTTCACTCAGATGTTGCCAAATTGGTTTTTTTGGTTCAGAAAAATTTAAATTTCTTGGACAGTGTTGAAAGGAAAAAACTTTTTTTTCCTGATGATAGGCACCGCTCCAAAAATTGTAGACAATTTTCATATACGTTTTTATTCCAATTGCAATAACCTGGTTAATTTTTGTTCATACAAGCTGACTTCAGTCTAACTTAATTGCTTTTTACTTTGCCCTCTGCAATTGAATCCAATGAATTAAGCTCCATATGTAGCCTAGTTTTTTTCTAATGTAGCATCAGTCCAAGTGTTTACGGGACAGCCAGTATTGTTGTTAAAAAATATACAATAAGCACGAATATGTGAAACTCAGTTACACGTATTTGTGCTAAATTTCCATTTTATAATTCACCAGACAGAGTAAAAAATTGCACATGTTTAATTGAATTTTAGTTTAAATTTTGGGTGGTGTATTTTTTTATATTTGTCCTGATTTATGAACGCTGCATTGTTTCAATTGTGACCACAGGCGAAGGACGAAATCAATCGATTCACAGCCCAGAGTCATCAGTGGGTTATATACCAGGAAAAATTTGAACAGACCCAAATTTAATGGATCGCAGCCCAAGAGGCTGGATTTCAATGTCACCAAGGGGCACAGACCTATCAGAGACCATCAGGATCCTATCAGATACCAGAATCCATATTTCAGGTATTTTACTAATTTTTCATTTCTTATCTTCTCAATCTTATCCTTTCTTTTTCCTCAATTTATCAAATTCATCTTGCAGGCATACTCAAGGCTTGCTTTTCAATACATTGAAGACAGCTGCAAACATTTTGCTGATTTTTTCTGCCACATTGCATGCAAGGTAAATGATGGAAATTTATGATCAAATGAAGAGTAATGTCCAACCGCTCATGAGGATTTATTTTTGGTGGAATTCGTCGAAACTTCAGTTATTTACTGAAGATGGATTGTATGTAGCTGAAAATGAAGGTGTGTCTCCCATCAATTGAAGGTATCCCTGCTGAAAAAGAACCTTAAAATTTGATGAGAGGCAGCCATGGTTGCATGGTTTTGATGTTTATTGTACCAAAATTTTACTATCATTGATTTTCTTGAAGTTACTATAATTGTCAAGAATCTGAAACCACAAATTTTTCTGCACTTATTCGGCTGAAAATATTTTATAGAAGAAGTTCCATTTCGCTCGCAGATTTTCTGATAACCTGGGGTTTATTTATTTATTATCATTTTTCCTTTTACTTAAGTGTGAAAAGGATTTGGGAGTAAGAGACTTTGGCGTGGAAAAAATATATATCAACATTTTCAAAATAAAGCTCTTTCTTTGGCTTTGGAGGACTCATTTAAGAAGTGTCCAAGTTGCTTCAGAGCTGATTTGAATGCTCTCTGTTCCTGCGCTTTGCCTATAATATTCACAGATGCAAATAGCTTCAGTGATTCCAAACTTAACGATGCTTTCGGCATGTTGGCATGGTGGTATTTGGTATTTTCAAAAATTTTACTTCCTCTTCACTTTTAATGTTATAGGTAGTTTATCTTGAAGAGTTCAGAATGTGTGTCTGGTCTGCCAAAATTGATCATTTCTTTCCCTTCTAATTTTGAAATTTAACAGTAAAACAAAGAGCATGTTTTTTGAAGTTATCAATCTGCAAAAAGAGAGTGCATCTCTTGTTTAATCGATGGAACTTGTCTCATGACAATTAAATTTCTTGCATGTCGCTCGTTGAAATTTTTTAAAACTTGGACTTACTTGAGAAGATTGGATATTAGTTATCAGGCGATTTTTACAAATTTAATCTATCATTTTTAGTTCCTGAGATTTAAACTTGGTATATAAACTTGAGGTATGGTGTGTGGGGAACTTTCTTTATGCTTACTTTGAATGACCCTCCTTAGTCGAAAGAAAGATTTGATACAAGTGGACTTCACTCTTTGTTTTGAAAGCGTTGAAAGCCAGGCATCTTGATATTTTTTTCGTGTTGAATTTTCTGTCAAACATTGTGAGCAAATTAAAAATTTCTTGATTCAATTCCTAACTGAAAAATAAGCGTTTTATGTTCTTGAATCCAAACTTTCCAGAGTTCAAAGTCGTTTCAGTCTACTTGACTTACAGTTAGTTTGGACCTTTGAATAACGTCTGACTAACAGTGCTTTACGATAAAATAATTTTTTGGAAGGTCTCCATTTTCTTAAATAGATTATTCAAGCATTCTGTATCAGAGGAAAAAAGAGACATTCATTTTGTTTTTCTTTTAAAGATAGTTTTAAAATATTCATTTTCTGTCTAGTAAGCCATCACAGGAGATGAAAAGCATTAATATTTTGACGAATGGTTTTGAAGTCATTCCATCATTTGCGTGATTATTTTTTGAAGCTTTAATGAGAAACCATATTCCTTCATTGTCACTGAGGTTTTTTGTGTAATTCTCTCAACTCAAAACATTGTTTCAGATCCTCAAGAGAAAGTAGAACTATCCACGGCTCAAGACCTCACACAGCCACAGACTTTCGCAGCAAATACCCTGATAATAGGTAATTTGAGTAGAATTTTCTTCATGAAATGGGTTTTATCAGTAAACAAGTAATTTTAAAGCCAATAGAATATTCGGAACATGTGAACTAATCTCTCTAATACATTAACATATTAAGTTGGATTGGGCCTGTTGCAAACTTTTGCTAAAGCAAAAATAAGAATTGTTCCTTACAGATAGTGTCTCAAAAATCACAATGAGGGCATCAGCAAACTCTGAAATTCACTCCTAACTTCACAATCTGCAAAAGAAATTTGCATTTTTTTAAGCTTCCCTCTTCAAAAAGGATACTACTGCACAGGTGAACATTTTGTTAGAGGATTAGTTCCATTCAATCCCTGCTCAATATGGCCAATGCTTCCGCGTGCAAGTTAAGGAGAGTACGAGGTCAATCGAGGCGGAGATCTATCAATGCCAGAAAAATGTGATTGTAAATTTGCCGATTGTTATCAGGTGGTTAGAATCATCGTCCTGTCACATGTGTTTTGGCAGATTGGCATCGGCCATGTTGAATATTGCGTAGTATCCTTGTAAGCAGGGGTGGGATGGAATGACTCCACTAACAAAATGTTCACCTGCGCCACAGTATCGTTTTGAGGGGGGAAGCTTGGAAAAACGGAAATTTCTTATGCAAATTGTGAAGTAAGGAGCGCATTTCAGACTTTACTGATGCGCTCATTGTGATTTTTGAGACATTCTCTATGAGTAACAACTCTTATTTTTTCTCTAGCCAAAGTTTGCAGTAGGCCCATTTTCACACAACAGATGGTAGGGTGGAGCAAAAAATTGAACATCGCGGGGGAAGTTGGTCTCATTGAAAAAAATTTGTTAAATGGGCCCAATATGATGTACAAGCAATTTTGTCGCATAAAATTTATCCCCTCCCACCCCATAGTGGCATTGAAAGCCTAAATTTTCAGTATGAGATATTAGGGCCCATTTGACAACTTTTTTTCAATGAGAGCCACTTCCCCCCCCCCCTCGCGAAATTCGATTTTTTCGCTCCACCCTAACTTAAAAGGGTCTCCATACGTTTCTGAAATTCCTGTGAGACTTGTCGAAAGTAAAGTGTTATACTCATAAAAAGAACTTAAGAAAGACATGTCTTAATAGAATCTTGTTAAGAAATGCAAATTTCAGATGTAACAGAATCCTGTTAGTGCATATTATATGTTTTATCATTTTTCCTTATGTATTCTGTTCTAACCTTGTAGGTAGCTGATGTCAGCATTGATTTTATACCAAGTACATATTATCATCATTAACTGTCTCCAATGGAATGAGTTAGTTGCCCCCATCCTCCCCCCTCTTCCCTCCCTCTTCCTTGGAAGTATGAAAGTGAACTAAGCTTCTTGGAATTTTTTAAATTTTTTCAATGAGAAAGGAACCCCATTTCGAAATTTCCGAAAATTGGACCCATCTAAAACGATATTTTTGGTGGGCTCTAATGACATAGGGCCAGGCGCGTAAAATAGCGTTTGCTTATTGGCTGAACTCTGCTTAAGGCATTGACTTGCTACATCAACTTGACTGCTAGCTTATGATTGGTCGGACTTAGATTCGCTTTTTCTCCCCTCAGAACTGATTTTTTGAACTTTTTAAAAAAACCTCTTGGTTTTTCCCTGAATTTTGATGCAAAAAGAATTATAATAATACCCTGCGAGAATTCCTTGTGACTGTTCCATTGCAGAAGCAGAGAAAGTTGCAAATTGCAGAGTATTCATTCAGTCTGAATAGTCCCACATTTATCATAGGAATGCTTCTCATTCTTCAAAACAAATATTCTAGAGTTCCACATTAGTTGATGTTTAATATGGTTAAATGCTCAAAACACCGTTTGTGCGGCATGTATGGTTAGGAATATAGTTTCATGCTAGCAGAATTTGTCCAGTAATCCGTTAAAAAGAAAAATGTGTTGATCTCTTTGAATCTATTTTTTAAATGATTCCATTTAGCATAGAAGATAAACAAATGGATTAATCCTTTTTTAATGTTGTATTTTTTAGGTACTATTCAAACCCGAGGCCGCGCAATCCTGTGCAATTGTGGAACGACGGTCATAGAGCCAATCCTAGAGCACTAAGCCTTGTCAATGTAAGATATGCTTTAAATAATACGTGATAACTGAAATTATTTTTTTCCTCTCATCCATACTTAAAATCTGAAAGGTCTCACTCAGGTCTTGCTTCGTGCATTAGTAAATTGTAGCATCTTTATTGAATCTCATCAATATTTTTATTTTACCTACTTTTTAATCATTGTGATCATATTTGATAATATGGTGCTTCAGAATAGTTCTCTCTCAAAGATTCCTGGCATAACTCCGGTATTAAAAGAGATCTAACTGTATATTTGCTTTCAAGAAGTTGATGATAAGGAAGGATTAAAGTATCTCATTTTTGTTTTCAGAACTATTACCGTCAAAATTATGGAGGCTTTCAACGCAAAGTAAGTTGTCTTTTTGTTCATTATGAAGTGAAATTGTTCTAATTCTCTGTAAAACGCTCAAACTTCTCCAGTCTTGCTTCCAATGGTGCAATGCAGTGTGCATGAGTGCATCCAAGTCATGAGGGTTTTAAGCAAGCTGTGGGCAAGAGGCACACACATGCTCTACAAACAAGCCCTGCTGCTTCAAAAGCTTACTAAGGCCAAACAGGCCATGGAACTCATGGGGAATCGGCAGTGCTGATTTACATCTCTTGGCTAGCATGCTGGGCAGCACTATTTGACCGCAAAAAAGCATCCTTAACACTCGTTAGACAGACCGCTTAGCTCATGTCAAATCGGTAAATCAGTAGTGCGGCCCTGCAGCAGCCCTGTGAGCAGATTTTAATCATTCCCTCTCTCATTTCTCTGCTGCGCAATCTGTCATGTTAATCGTAATCTGAAACTATGAATTTTCAAAGTCTCTGAATAACTAAGTACCGCTTTTATTTTTCATTCACTTGGCTAATGATTCAGATACAGGATGCCATGCTTCCCTTGCTGACAGAGACGCCACTCACTGCCCTAAATGTAATCAAAGTATTTCTTTTTCTGAATTAATGTCAACGTTTTATATGAATACACATGGAGATTTTTTTTTGTTTTTTTTTATGTAGGTGCTAAAAACTATACAGATTTGTGTTTTTGCCCTACAGCAGTCCTGGACCTCTTATCACCAAAGAACTGCTTATGAAAACCAGAACCATCAACAGTTCCACCCGAATAACAATTCATTTGAACGAGACCTTGTAAGGTGAAGACTTTTTACCACTGTTCACATTTAGAACTGAATGTCTAGATATAGTTTCAGTTTTTGTCATTCTCTCCCTTATGAGTGGAAGATGGTCAGCGATAGCCTCATACAAATTTTGGATCAGAATTCAAAACATTAAGTAGAGATGCAATAATTTTTCATTCATGTTTCTTTTGAATATCAAGAGATGAAATATTCTGTGACAAAATTGAATAAAATACTCACTTCATGAGTCAATACATTCACTACAGTGAAATTTTGTCAAAATGAACTTCAGTTACATCTAATCTTACTCAGTCTCCAAAACAACCCCTCTTAACACGAAGTGAAAAACTGCGGTTAATACAAACTGAGTTATTTTTCTTCTTTCCTCTTTCTTTGGCTGAAAGGAAAGTTACTTCAATTAAAAAGAGAAATGTCATAAAAACCCTGATAGTTTTTTATTTTCTACAAAAAAAAATGTCAATTTAAAATGATATTTAAATTTAATACTAAGCCTTAACTTGTACTTCACTGAGACAATTTTTACTCCCCTAAAGAGTCACCATAGGTTAGATATGAAGCCTCTGTATTCAAATTTTGCTTCAGTGGCAGTGAAAAAGTTATTTTAGATAGCCACTGATGACTAGTGTCGTCCATCCTCCAAGACAAATCTTCTTTGTTTGTTCAACAGTAAACTCGACAAATTCCTTCTGAGATGTCAAAATTTCCTGATTGACTAGTCACAAGCAAAAGTAGGAAGGTGGTGAAAAGAGGTTTTGATTAATAGAGGGGCAGTTTTGAGTGAGGGTAAGAATCGTTGAATTTCCTCCTTCAGAATTTGAAGAGCCCTCATAAATGACAGGCTCTTCTTGTGGGAAAGCTAAGAACTTTTTGCGTCACTCAATTACTCATTCAAATTTCTTCCATCCATGATAATCTCTTTAATATGAATTTTCTGTACTTAACTCTGCTTTCAGCAAGCCTCGCCTAAATAGGAAGCTACAAGAGAGCATTTGCGAGGAACAAGATTATTTGTTTGATCCATCGTACTATTATACCCCTCTACCATACATCAAACAAGAAAGTGAAACTAACTCTGCAGCACTAAATCATACGACAGTTTTCCCTACCCATGAAAGATTCAAGACCTACCTGGAAAGATGGTAGGGGTGAAATTCAACAAATCTATTCAACTGAAACGTCAGGGAAATACACATTCGACGGGAATCCAAGCACCAGCTTTTATTCTAGGTTACCCTTGTCAGATCCTGCCACATTTCCTCATTTTTTGTTTTTTTTAATTTTACTCCATGACATTTTGTCTTTGTTAGTTTTTTTTTTTTTTTTATTGAAGAATTCTAGACTTTATGATTTCATAGTAAAAGTTTCTCCTCATAAGTACGTTTTCTTTAACTTCAAATTTGTGTGATACTGGTTTCAATAGACACTGTTCGTAGGTGTTCAATCGCTCTTAATGATTTGGAAAATGGACACATTTACGTAAAACAAGTATCTCCTATCAATTTATTTTGCAAATGTACATCCTTGGCATAAATTCATCCTCTTCAATTAATTGGTGCTATTATTCCAAGATTGAATTTTTTGGCATTTAGGTCCCTCTTCCTGTGGACAGTGACATCCTCACCAATCGATCATATTCGATAATGATGGTTTGATGTATTGTTTGGTTCAAAACATTAGAACATAACCTCAAATAAAAATTTTATGATTACAGTAGGAAAAGCTGAATATGAGAAAATTCCTAATGATTTCACTTTTCATTGTCATTAATTACTCACAAGAATAAAAAACCTCTAACAAGAAAACTGTTCCCTCAGATTACTCAATTAACTTTTGAGGCTATGTTCACATGTTGAACCAATGGATATCATTACAATCTCACCTGTATGATGTATCGAATACGATCTATAGTTTTTTCAGGGTCAAAATTATTTGTCAAGCTGCACTGTCAGCGAAATACTCGAATGAAAATTATATTGAGTTTTCACAGGCATATTTGATGTTCAGAAGTTTTTGTAAGTGACGTAGAATTTAATGTTTTTCAATTTCATCATATAAATTTGGCTTCAAAAATAGGTGAAGATCTCGCATGGGGATGCATAAAAAATTTTTAGTGCTGAAACTAAAAATGTCACCAACCTCAAAACTATGTGAAACCTCCAAAACTATTACTACCAAGTATTTTGTCTTGATTTCATTGATAACAAGTCTTAAATTGTGTGCTCTTCTTTCTAGTTCCTTGTATAGTTCAATGTGCCCAATTATCCTTTGAAGAATCTATTTGATTGTTCTTTATCCCATAGATAGAGTGAATTACTTTTTCCGAATGCCCGATGGGACCAATCCTCTGTGTTTTTAGCTAATAGAGCATAAAATGACAGCAGTTTTTTTTTTTTTATCATCCTTGGAAATTGAATTTTCAATTGAATGTATTTCATTAGGGCTAAAATGAGACTCATTTTGGAAAATTTGATTTTACAACTAATTCATAGGTAACAGAAAACCATCCAAATCTCTGTCTGTTGTAACAACCAAAAATACCCAGGATCAGTCTCAATGAATACTCAGATAAACATATTTACTCTTCTTGTAAGTGAAAGAAAAAAAAAGTAAGGTTGTAAGGTTGTAACTCTTTTTGTAAAGTGGAAAACAAATAGTTCAAATTTTCACTGCAAATGGGCGAATTTTGTCGTTCGGCTGATGAAACTTCGTCATCAGGAAGAGGTGGAGAAGTACTCAGGCATTTATTTTTGACTGCTATATAAAATTTAGCCCTTGATCTCGCCCAGCATGCCCCAGTTTTTTGCAACTTTGATGTTCTGAAAAACTCTTACACTGTCGGAAAAAAGGATTTCATTTTTAGTTTTAGCGCTAAAAATTCATCAGGAATCACCATCTAAGAATCTCGCGTCATATTGCCTGTAGACCTTTGTGTTTGAAAAATAGGAAGAAAAATGAATGGCTTCTGTTAAAAAGTTGGCTCTTCTTGTTGCCGTTTATCACTGAAAACTTTATTGGTGTAACTCGCCTTTGATACGTTCTGAAAATGGTCAGGGGTTTCACCTATTTCTCCAATTCAGAAAAATTGTTGTTTTTTTAATTCTCCTTAACTATTATTATTATTATTCTTTTAGTTTGTTTAAGTTTAAATCTTTCTTTTCTATCAGAAGATGAATTGAATGAATTCATTTATTATATTAAAATTTGTTAAAACAAAAAATAAAACAAAAAAATTTGTTATTAACAAATTGTTTTTGTTATAAAAATGATTCTCCTTAACTATTATTATTATTATTATTATTATTTTTTTAGTTCGTTTAAGTTTAAATCTTTCTTTTCTACCAGAAGATGAATTGAATGAATTCATTTATTATATTAAAATTTGTTACACCTTCATTTTGTTCTCTATTTTTGTATGGCTCACAATTTGTATACATGTCGCAGGCAAATAGTAAAATCAGTCATTTTGTCAAATGCCTGGGCAAATAGTAAAATATTCTAACTTAGATTGAAATTCTGATTCTGTTCCTAATTTCAGACAAAATAATCCATTGCTCCCACAAGAAAAAATTATTGGTAAAAATTTGCAGTGCACATTAGTATTTTAAACAATTTTTAGCTCCTGAACAGACACTGATCTTGAAATTTTCAGCTTGACATAAAATACAGAATTTTCGGAATTTCAGCATTTAAAAATATGAGAAGCAATTGAAGGGGAAGAGACAAAAAGAGTTTGTACGTTTGATGAATTATTTTTCCAAAAATGGTTAAAATCGTGAGCTCTTTGCCATAAATTTACAAAATTTTGTAGACCGTCAAAATTTGACTATTTGCCCAGGCATTTGACAAAATGCCTGATTTCACTATTTGCCTGCGACATACATAATGTAAATATGTATGAGGTTGGTTTAAAAAGTTGGCGGAAACATCTCCATTGCAAGTCTACTCTGTGTCAGCAAGTCTACCTGAATCATTGTCATGGATGTATGATATGCAAGCTGTACAAATGATAACATATCTTTCTGTGTAGTCTTCGATCAAAATTGGTTTATTCATAGATTTCACCATTATAAGCCACTAAAAAATAAAATGGGAGCGAATGTTTTTAAACACCGCATCGGTGATCAATTTTCGCAGTTTAGGCATCGTTAAAGTCCGCACAGCCTCTGATTTGCTGCCCACATCACAACTGAATACGTTGCTGATCGCCACTTAAATTCAATTTCTTTGATTTGGATGTACTGACTTCCAAACCCCACTTCCCATACTTGCGTTCCCACTTTGGTTCATTTGCTTTCAGTACAAATTTTTGCTCACTTTCCAGGCATTTGCGTCTCGCCCTCTTGTTTGTTGTCTCTGATACTCTCCTGACTACGCCTAAACCGTTAGAACTACTTATAGATTGCGATCTTTTACATTGAGCTACTGTTTGCTACGCTAGACTTGCAACAGAAGACTTTCCTGCCAACTTTCAAACTTTTATTTTATGTTTTTATTCCTTTTTAATTTTTTCTATTAAAATTATTTAAATTAAATGATTGTACTTGTTTTCTATTATTTATCCTAGTTATTTTTCCATAATTTCATCTGAATAGGAGGATAAGAATTCTCAAGAATAGTGATCAATTTCAACCTTCATTTATTGAAGGCGGCAAATGATCTTTTTTGAAAAAATTTAGATTTAAGGGTGGTTGAGCATAGTTTGCTGCCATGTAATCTTGAAAAATACTAACATCATATCCGAATTTTCAGCCCAGCAATAGCAGTTCTAACTTTTTTTAGCCTCAAGACCCTATGTGCCTCTTTAGCTTCAAACACTTTTTTCTTGAAATTGAAAGAATATTAGTACATACCTACTCATCTTTCTCATTTATCAGAGACTTCAGTTGACTCGTATTTAGCAGAATGTTCTCACAAAATTTTAAGTTTCAGTGTTGCTTTTTCTGCCAAAATGTAAGAAGAAAAAAAAGTCAAAGGAAAGTCAGGCATTTTGATTCCGATCAAATCCGTCCAGTCATTCAGATATGAAAACTGACACCAAATGTGGCCTATTGCTGTATAAGAACATTATGCGCAATTCTACTCTCAATTTTTACAAGTACTCTTCTATTTCAAGAGGAAGGCTCTCTTTTGCTGAAAACTTCACTTTTGCATACGTACACATACCGTATGATTATGAAGAGCCCAGTCAATGTAAAAGGTATTTTTTGCGTGGACAGTTTTCTCCCTTTTTTCAGGCCTTCTTAAGGTGAGTTGTCAAGTTCAAGTGACATGGTCGAACCGGCATGCAACATATCGCATTGATTAGGTCAAAAATCTTGGCAGATTCTGAATGTTTAGCAAAAAAAAGACGACAGCCCCTGCGCATGAGCTTAAAGAATCATTTTAAACCCAAAAATTGGCAAAATTCAGAGAAATGAAAGCAGAATAGCGTTTGGAAAAAAAACCTTGTATTCGATTCAGCTATCGATTTCTGTATCGAGTGCAAGGTTTTTTTCCAAACACTACTCTGCTTTCATTTCTCTGAATTTTGCCAATTTTTGGGTTTAGAATGATTCTTTAGGTTCATGCGCAGGGGCTATCGTTCTTTTTTTTGCTAAAAATTCAGAATCTGCCGAGATTTTTGACCTGATCAATGCGATATATCGCACACCAGTTCGACCACGTTTCTTGAGCTTGACGAATCACCTTGAGCTAAGTTCTTACAAAGTTTTAGAAGTTCAGTGAAAAATGCCTAAACTCTTTTGTTTATTGACTGAGCTTTTTCTATTCATTTTTCTGGGTGTTTTAATGTCCATTATAATTGAGGTCTCTGAAGAACATACAAAAGCATGTGAAGCGGTTTTCTCAAGCAAGCAATGTTGAGTTTTTGAATTCCAAGAGAAATCTGCTCAAAGTTGTTAATCGAATTCTAATGCTGTTTGAACCTAAAAAATTCAACTGAGAGGCATCAGAAACAAGAGATTTTCTCCTGTGAAACGTTTTTTACAACATTCACAGTTGAGCAAGGATTAAAAGAATTTGGCGCATTGAAGAATGGCATCAGAATGATATAGCTCAAGAGACGATTTTGAAATCAACATGCAACAGGATACATTGCCGGCCTCAACACACCCCCGTGGAAAATTTTCAATTCGTAACATTGGTTTTTTGATTTGGATTTATTAAAGATAATTTTTTTCGTAAACTCATTCAAATTACTCAACCACGAGACTTGAGTAATCATATATCGCGCGCTTTAAAGACAAGTGTTCGCCAACTGTGCAGAACTAAATTTTTCAGGGACATCTGGGGGCAACAATAAATAAAATTAAGCAAGTCAACAGTATTCGTTCACCACAGGATATATGATTATTATAAATGGAAGTTGGTTGCTAATTTTTTTTTTGTTCGAGGAAAAATCCGGCAGGATTTTGTACACGTCGAAGTATAAAATCAAAAGTGCATCAATTGTAATGAACTTTCAACTTTCGAAGAGTAGAATAGGGAATTTTCCTATTTAACAACAAAGCCGCCTGTCTTTCCCGCCTTTCCCACCCGCCTCCTCCCCCTACACCCCTTCCCTTATCATCTAAAAACATTACAGTGGAAAGATTCTTTGGAGTTTTCACTTTTCCTTCAAACTCCTTCAAGCTTTGTGTATTTCCGATATGTCCACGATGTTCCTCCGCAGTGCAGTTGTCGCAGAATCAATCGCTAAGCAGAATTGTGCTAAGGTATCACTCCAATCGTCCTCATTAATGCGAGAAATCTTGACCAAGCAGAAATTGAATGATCTTTTTCCATCCCTGACCACAGCCTCTTATCAGGGAGCTATAAATAGGTTATGATAATAACCTTCAGCAACACCTATCAATTTGTCCTTTGAGCTCCCGAAATTTAAACTTTAAAATCCACCCATCCCTTCTTTCTCCGCAAAGGAAGCACAAATAATTGTAACCTTGCTCATCAAATGCCTGAAAAAGTTATCAGCGTCCTAAACTGGAAGTGTCATTCGATGACACATTTTTTGACTTTATGCCAGTCAGGCGCCTCTCAAAGTTTCTAGTTCGCCTGGGTCTTTTCCCCTTTTGCTGTACCCTGTGAATTATAATCAGACACTTTTAGCTTTGGTATGTAGGCTCTCTTCGCTGTACTGAATTTAATTCTGACGCACTTCTTGGGTCCCTAGGCTACACCTAATTTTGGAGATTTGATTATCATGGTTTATTTTCTCTAATGGAAAGAAAGTTTGATCAAAGGTGATTTTATCTGCCTTTTTCCCTGTACTTAGAGTCAGATTTTATTACAGAATTCATTCAGCTCCCCTCTCTACGCTCATCCGTCGGTGAGGTATCATCATTGACGATTAAGCTGAACAGACCATTGCATGTCACGCATAACACCATTGTTTCGTACTTGTCACATGATCTCCTTACAAATTAAACGCTACTGTTTAGAGAAAGTAGTAGGCGGCAAGTGTCATTGATGACCTTTCCATATGTTTACAATTTCAGCTTTTTAGTGGATTTTGATTAGCTTGAATTAACATCACTGAACATCCAAAATATTAATGCATTCTGCCGTTTTCCTCATTTCATATGTTACCCGAAGCAGAATGAAACTTTTCTACTTTCATTGTGTTGTTGCATATTGCACATTTTTTTTTAAAATTTTATCGGCACTACACAAATTATTTGATTAACTTAAAACTTTTTTGAAAACCGATTAGATAGCACTTCCTTTCTTATTGTTCTCTACGCACTATGGCCATTTCGAGCGAACAGGCCGCCCATCTTCAGGTGACTGCATTGGTATGGAAAGGTTCAAAAATCCGGCGTGATAGCCGCGCCGGTGCAGTTATTATCGCGGCTCTCGTCCTCTTGGTCAGCTAATTTCTTATTAGATGTTTTCAAAATGGCCATAGTGCGTAGAGAACAATAAGGAAGTAAGTGCTATATAATCGGTTTTCAAAAAAGTCTTAAGTTAATCAAATAATTTTCTACTTTCATATACACTGCCTCTAGTTCAAACATTATATTTTTGACTTGTACCTTGACAGAGGAAATTTTGTCGATCAAAAATTGATATCACTACCTTGACACCTTTTGGTCAAAGTAGGTATCACCGGTGCCATTTGCGCTCAAGTAATTTGTTGCCAAACTTGTTCAATTTTTTACGGAAAAATTAAGGAATAAAATTGCTACTTAATTTTACTGAATATTCCTTTGTCATTTAGGTAAATTCCTGAAATAGTCATGAAAGCCTGTACCCACAAAAGTTTTAGAGGAAAAATTAAAATAACATTGAGATGTCCAGCAATGTAGGGTCTTAATGTAAATAGTGTTTGTGATACTTTGGCTGGTAGAGACAACCTATTGATCATTTTCACTAGCAGTAATTTAAAGATATCATGTCTTGAAGTCTTTTCATATGTAACACTTTGATGATTTATTTCATACCTTTTTAATGATTTACTTTTTTGTAACAATGTGCAGCTTTTAGGAGGAGCTGTCCAAACCTTACCATGGAGCAGCCAACAAAAGCGAAATCTGAATGTCCACGAGCACATCAGTTTCAGCTTGCTGAAGGAGGCCGGCATTTCTGTGCCACGATTCGGGGTGGCTAAAGATGCTCAAGAAGCTGCCAAAATCGCCAAGGATCTTCAAGTGAAAGATATTGTCCTGAAAGCTCAAGTTTTAGCCGGTGGTCGAGGCAAAGGTCATTTTAAAGGTGGTCTCAAGGGAGGAGTAAAGATGGTTTACACGTGAGTCATTTATTTTGTTATTTAAGACATTGGCCCAGGTGGTTAATCTATTTCCTGCTAAAGCAATTGTAATCAGAAAATATACATTTTTGCTCACGTCTTTGCATCAATTTAAATAGAAAGGAATCAAGATCAAACCGAGACAAAAAGGTTTAAGGTTTCAATCCTTCTTAAGACTCGGTGTTGGAGATGAAGCTTAGTGCCTATTTTTACGCTCAAAATATGTCTCCATGTGGCTCAGTTCCTTTCCTTTCTTTTTAATTCAGTCCAATTGAAAGGGCGACAGCTAGAATGGTTTCATTACATTGCAATGTTGAGAAATTTCGCCTGAAAATCTGTCTAATCAGATGGGTCGCAAATTTTAAATTGGAAATTTTTGTGGAATTTCTTTGTGATCTGAAAAAAAATTTGCTGAAATGTTCAATTGAAAGTAGGTATGCACCCATTAACAAATGAAGAAGTAAGCTTTCGAGTCAAAGTTGGCAACAGTGTAAAGCAATTACCTAAGTCTCTCTGACAGAAATCCTTTTTTCGTTATCAAAGAAAAATTACCTTTTATTTAACTTCTCTCTTTTGACCCGTCTTGCCATCTCATTCTGTGATGCTTTTTCGAGTGTTTTGATAATGCAGTTGGTGGCTGATAGAGATGCCTCTCTTCTCTGCCAGGTCCATCAAGAATACCTACTGATAACACTAATCTTTATTGTTTAAAAAGTTGGAAGGAATGGCTAAAATAATGCATTAAGATTTGTTACCAAAGCTACAGATTCACAGACTTTGTTCAAGCAGATTGAAAGAGTAGCATATTAATTGTTTATACCTAATTTTAAAAGGACTAAATTTGGCGCCAGCTAAATTTTTTTTGTTTTTTTTATGTTGTTTTTTTTGTTGTTTTTTTTTTTTTTTTTTTTTTTTTTTTTTTTTGTTTTTCTGATATGTCGTTTTTTAAGGTCTTCCGAGCCCTATAACATTTTTAAATCCAACTTTCTATGTGCCCATCTTGAGAAAAGCGGGTCTGAAAAGTGACTTCTTCAGCTCCTTATCTGCGTTTTCCAATGGAGTTGTGGCACTTTTGCCATGTGTGAGTGGACCCTCCAGTGCGTCAGTGGCGTGGCGTGCTTTGCGAATATCGATTGTTCTGCCATTTAAACCTATGGTAAAGAATCGATTATTCAGGCGTTCGCTGCGAACACCCTGTGTATCGATCCTTTCCATAGGTTTAAATGGCATAACAATCGATGTAACGCAATTCATGCCACGCCACTGCAGTGCGTGCTCTTATCATTTTGAGGAATTTGATTCTTTTCATCTGTGTTGTTTCTGCAGCTTGCAAGGAAACAAAAGATCTCCTGAATCAGCAACAAGATGTTGCAACACTTCCACTGCATATTGCGTGTGAAAATGCTGAATTATGCTCAGGAGGCTGTAAAGAACATCATATCACAATTTAGTGGGTGCCAAATTTTTTTGTTTTGTGTGCGTGTACCTTTACTATCCTGAAGACATACAGGGTCTTCAAAAAGTTCAGCTCCCCCCCTGTAACTTTTGAACGGTTGCACCTAGCGAAATGAAATTTTTACAGTGTTCCTAGGTCAATAGGAACTACTTTTGGGCATACTCAAAATTTGGGGGCGGCGCCCCCGGGCTGCTGGGCGGACCCCAACTCAAAATTTTCAAATAGCAACCCCCATGTTTTATGGCATTTTCAGAAAGAGGATAAAAAAAGAAAATTTTTGAGCTATTGTGAAGATCTCTACGATTTTTTTTCGCCGAGATATTCGCGATCAAAGTTTAAAATAGGCCTATTTCCAAAAAATCGTGTGCGCCGACCGAAAAATCCTAGGCAACCAAACTTGTGCTTCAAATGTTCAGAATTACACGCACTTTCAAGAAAAATTGGAAATTTCGACTCTGAAGGTCGCAGGCCGCCCCCTCCGGCTACTCCGCGGGCCGCGCTCCCCCCCCCCCCATCAAGTAACTTTGGAACGTTTGCACCGCTAACCAAATGAAATTTCGACAGTGTTGGTAAGTCCACGGTACCTACTCTTGAGCATNATCCTCTTTCTGAAAATGCCATAAAACATGGGGGTTGCTATTTGAAAATTTTGAGTTGGGGTCCGCCCAGCAGCCCGGGGGCGCCGCCCCCAAATTTTGAGTATGCCCAAAAGTAGTTCCTATTGACCTAGGAACACTGTAAAAATTTCATTTCGCTAGGTGCAACCGTTCAAAAGTTACAGGGGGGGAGCTGAACTTTTTGAAGACCCTGTATAAAGAGCACTGAATAATTTAACATGATCACCAAACATTTATAAAGTGTTGTGCATTCACACCAATTCATTATCACCAAATACTTGAAAAAGATGATCGTAGGCTTTAGTGTCCCTGCTTTACCTACTACGCTGTATCTTAGGAAGATTGAAACAGTGCAAGAATGCAGAAACTTTGCAACCTTGCAATTGGTCTTCTGCAAAGATCGGATGGCTCCGAAAACGCGTTTTAAAAATGAGTAGCAGAAGGTGGCATGGGCCACTGGGCCAGTGTTTAGATCATGTGTTTTCGGCAAATTTATAGCTTAAATTGGGTTTTTCTGTATTTTCTTTAAAAATTGCAGTAAAAATTAATGTTTTTTGCAAAATCGCGACCATTTGTAATCAGTTAGCGAAGAGAAAGATCATATTTTTTTTGGAAAAAATTTTGATACAAAAAGGGTTTTCAAAAGAAGAAAGCCAATTTTAAAAAAGAGAATGCTAAAAAATTCCTACATCCCTGAAACAGTGTATACTTTGAATCTGTATTTCTCTTTTTTTTTCGTGAATAAGACCTGAGGAAGCCAAGGAAACAGCCTCTCAAATGATTGGAGACTTTTTGATCACGAAGCAGACTGGAGAAAAGGGAAGGATTTGCAATGCGGTCATGGTAACGGAGAGAAAGTTCCCGCGAAGAGAATTCTACTTTGCAATCATGATGGAAAGAGCATTCAACGTAAGTTAGGAAATCAGTCTCTATGGAGGTTTAGATGAAGTAGAACAGTAGAATCGTCCTTACTCGATCTCATTCTCAACACATTCCCTGTCAAGTTGATCAAAGTGACTGCTTTCTCTGTTTGTTGCTTGTGGCCAAAATGTTCATTGACCAATGTTCTGGGGCATGTTTTCACCACTCTACAACGTGAGATAAAAAAAGGTTTTCACTACAACGTCCCAAATCTTAATTTGTTCTGATGGTAGTTGTTTCAAGGAAGCTAATCTTTTTGGCAAATGTTGATTTGAACAACACTTTTCAATCATTTTATGTAATTTTTCCTCATTGGTGTCAATCAAATCACCAAAAAAATTGGAATTTTCTGCTAAAAACCATTTATACTGATTATTTTGGCTACATTGTCACAGTCTACCATAAGGAAGGACTTTTCATGTGTCACAATTACTAACTAGGTATTAATCAGTTTGAAAAAGGCAAAGTGGAAGGTAAAATACTTTTAAATTAATTAAGTTCTGAATTTTTCAACTTTTCAGTTGAAATGATAAATTTAAGATTAAAGAAATAGAAGTGAACAGTTCTTAGATCTTATCCTTTCTAGTGATCAGATTGCTGTCTGCTGAAGGGTGGCTCATAATTTTTATTTTTCTAAATATCGGGGGTCCAAACATACTTCACTTTCACATAAATCAGTAAACTTTCATGTTAAATGCTTTTTTTTTCTTTTTGCTGAGTGCGAATCAAAAAACTTGTTTAACACTTTTCTTTCCCAAAAATATTGCACACTTCAAAAGTTTTGAGGCATTGATGTTTTGTTATTGTTGTTTTGTCTCTCTCATGGTAATATGTATTAACATATTGAAAACTTTCAGGGCCCTGTCATAATTGCTTCCTCACAAGGAGGTGTCAACATTGAAGAAGTAGCAGCTGAGAATCCAGATGCCATTCTGTATGAGCCCATTAACATTTTCGAAGGTAACAACTCCTTCACTAAAGTCAGTCTGTTGCTTGCAAAATGAAGTCAAGGCTAATAAATAATTTCCCCATCCAAATGATTCCTCGGATGAAGTTAAAAAAATACCATGTGCAAAGTATACAATGAAGAAATCTGTAGTGATTCATAATTCAAAAGCTTCGAGTTCATGTATTTAATGTTCCAATGTGTTTTGCGTTCTCTTTTTGCTCAGCATTTCAGAATCATTCATTTCTGCTCAGCAGCAAGAACGCTATTATTTTTCCACACTCTGCCTAACTCAACCGAGTTTGAAAAATTAGGATTTAAATACCTAATTGGTGGCATGTCTACTCATGATGAGTTTGTGGGTGGTGATGAATTATATAGAAAGCTACCATGCACAGTGGACTCTCAATAATTCGAACCTCAATAATTCGAAAACCTCGTTAATTCGAAGGAAAGTCTGTTTCCCTTGAAAATCTCTCAATAATTCGAAGAGAATCAATGTACTTTTCTTCCCTCGTTATTTCAAAATTTTTAAGCTGGCGTGGTCCTCTATAATTCGAAATTGCGACAGAAATTCTCTCTGTAATTCAAAGTGTGGGAAGTAAATATGGTCCTCCCTCTATAATTCAAAATAAGACGGTACATTCCCTCTACAATTCAAAGTCAACTGTTGATGTATCTGGGTGTCTGAAAGAGCTCATAGGATTGTCAACATGTAAACAAGTCCTGTGAGTCTTCCCGCGAAAAGCTTGATCAGCTGATTGAATATAAATAATTAATAACAACTTAGTGTAATTTTTACTTCCGTAAAGAAATAAACTGATATTTTTGGTTATTTTTGGCGTAAATCCATCCATTTGCCTATCTATATTCGAACCTCTCTATTTCGGAATTTCTCCGCATGGAATCTCTTTAATTCAAACTCTCTTTATTTCGAAACCTCGCTAATTCGAATAAAAAGCTGATTCCCTTCAATTTCGAATTATCGAGAGTCCACTGTATAAGCTGAAAAGAAAAGCATATGATCAAATGGCTGTAATTATCATTCTTATGCCCGTAGGTATTAAGAAGGAGCAAGCATTGGCTGTTGCCGAGAAAGTAGGACTCGGTGACAAGAAAGAGCAAACAGCAGAGATGCTGCTTAAGCTGTACGATCTGTTCTTGAAGAAAGATGCCCTCCTGATTGAAGTGAACCCTTATGCTGAAGATGCCAGTGGAGATTGTAAGTTTTTATCTTCTTTATTCCGGTAGACAAGAAAAATTTACCGGTTTAATTGCATCAAGGTGATTTATGCAGTACTAAAGCTTAGGTCCTAAACCGATTACAAAGTGGACCACTGGTAAGCACTGTTATAAATTTACTTCAAACATTCTAGAAGAACTATTCATCATACATCTGTAGAAGGTATACGCACTGGTGTAGCCAAACATTAGGGGGGGGGGTTCAAAGGTGAATAATCCCTGAAAATGACGAAAAATGTCATTTTATCCAGAGAAAATCTTCCGGTCATTGTGTAAAGTCTTCGTTTTCAACTCAGACTTGGGCAACGCTCAAATACCCATTCATCCATTCTGGTTCAGCTCCACTCATTCCTTGAAGTTGTTGCTAAGGAAACAATTTGCCTCTAGGCAAGGTATAAATTAAAGAACTTTGCAGCATGCATCTGCTAATGATAGGTGTCCATCGGTGGTGGGGGCAAGTCTTAGACTCGACTGATGACAAAACAAAAGTAGATTTAGTTGCAGTTATGGAGGCGTCAAGTTATGAAAACTACATCAACCACGACCTGCTTAGCAAAGCAGGTGCGAAAAGTTTTTTTCCGAGTGTTTTGCTGGCTTTCTCAAAATCTGGGTGTGACCTGTCTACACTTGCGGATCGTTTGCGGATGCTTATGGTATTTACCTTGTAATCAGATGCTTGCATTGGACAAGTATTATGGATATTTTCAAGAGATTCAATTTAAAGATTGTATGAAGGAATGAATTATGTAAACAGGCCACAATATTAATGTGAAAAAATCGAGATATACCATAGTATGATTAACTACATGGGATGTTTTCTCACTTTAGAGTCTACTTCGCTCACATTTTCTCGAAAAAAATCATAGAAAGCAGTGAGAATCCAGCTCATCATTTTCTTTCTTATAACTTTTACTATTTATTTATTGAATGGATATAAATCAAGATGTTCTTTTTACTTTGGAACTGTTCAACTGATGGTTTTTTTTCTTTTAAATTATTAACACAAGGAGGAATTGATGGAATAACATTTTGTTGCAGACTATTGCCTTGATGCAAAAATGAGATTTGATGACAATGCAGACTTCAGGCAAAAAGATTTGTTTGCCCTTCGAGATTGGACCCAGGAAGATCCCAAGGAGGTTGAAGCCTCAAAATATCAACTAAACTACATTGCTCTTGATGGTAACATAGCTCTAAAAGTTTTTCTCTTTCTCATAATAATCATCAAACTCAATTACACCAAAGAGATTACAGTTCAACGCACTATTGGTTTAGACAGAGTGTTGGGTAATTTGCTGACAAGCGTTAAGATTCAGCATAAAACTGTAATTTTCAACTTTTCCACATTTGGATAATTTGCTCAACAGATGGTGGTAAGTTTGCCTGCCTCTGTGGCCGCATGCCCTAACTTTGAACTGGTTTTAACAACCTCCCAGAGCTTGAAAGCAGAAAATCAGGAGACTGCACTGCTTTTAGACCCAATCAGACCCAAAACGCATCTACAGTTGCTTTCCTGAAGGGTCGTAACTAGTGTCGAACCTAGCAACGTAGTCGTTTTTGGGGAAATTGTGCTTGAATGAGATTTTTCTGTTAACAATGAGAATTTTATTTTTACACTGAATTTTAATGCACGTTGGCAAAATTACCAACTTTCTATTTTAATTACTCAACATGAAAGCATGGCCGTAAGAAGGGTACTGATTTAAAGTTTCAAGCAATTTTTTCCGAAAACCTGTTTTTTACCAGACTTTACCCAAAAAATGTTGAATGGCTCAAAGAATCTATAAAAAGTGGAAAAAGTCAAGTTTATACTTGTTGGGATGAAGGTTGTGTATCTTAAGGTGAATCCAGGCTTCGAACTTCGCGATTTGGCCACCTTGTTGCGCTTCTCAAAATAGCCGTAGATATTTGCCAAAATAATAAAAACTGTGAAACTTATTCAAGATTGGAGATCCAGGGGATGTAGCAACATACTTGAGGAACACTCAGTGAAAAATCCTCTCAAAATTCCTAAAAATAAAGTCGTAATTACGGCGGAAAGTAATCCCCATTGCAGCAATGGGAGAGAGAGAGACACAACATGAGGGACTCGGTTGCGCGCTCGGCCGCCGCCGCTGAGCTGAAAGTTTCAGCCGTATCAACTCTGCGCTTGTAATTCTAATTGCCTATTGTTTTGGCTCAAAAAATCAAGCAAAAAATAATCTATATCTTGTGGATCTGCTTCTTGTAATTTGAGGAATATTATTTCAGTAATCGTCGAAGGATAGTGAAATTCTCAGTGGTGACTAGTGGCGCTATCTCTAATCTTGAATTATCCCTAATGGAACCCTTGATTCACCTTAAGTACATTGTGTTTAAAAATGTAAAATGATCTCCAGGATGATCCTGGATCTATATCATGATCCTGGGTCTTTATTTTCTCACAATTGCTTGTTGAGAATTGAAAATTGCAGAAAAGTGTCAGATGATACATTTTTCAATACATTTTTCAGAATTATCTATGGTAATTGATGTATGGTGTACGACAAGAGACACTGCCAACTTAACAGATGTTGTTTAAGTCAAAAATAACACCACGCCATCGTTGAGCACATCAGTAATGTCCAAAATCTATTTTTTAAGGTAAAATTAGGGCTGTCCTTATGGTTCATTTCCAATTTACCATTTCTGAGGACATTTATTTTTCATTTGCCAGCAATTGAGTTTGTCCAGAAAAGGACGGATAAGAAAATCTAACTGAATGAACGTACAATCTTCCAAACTGTTCCATACCTATGATCTCAGTAGTTCTTGATCGTTTGTTTTCTCCATATTTCTCTATGTCGCAAATAAAATTCCTCAAAATGACTAAAATCATAAGTAAAAAAAAAAATCATAACAGTTGTGAGATTGTTCTTTCATTTAGGTCAGATTTGTTCACTCTCACTATACATATGCAAAACTCATTGCCTGCAGCTAAGAAAAATATGTCCACAGAAATGGTAAATTTGATAATACATAATTTAAAATACGCGCATCATGTGCTAAGCAGTGGATTTCTGACATCTTGGACATTTCTGATATGCCCAACATTGTATTTGTGTGATTTTACCCGAAAGATTATACCGAAAAGTCAGTTCAGTTTGCTGTATCCCTTGCAAGTAGCAGACCCAAAAGCGGGCCAATTTTGGCTCTTTGTGCAAGGCTCTTTGAGTGATAAACTGTTCATTGTGTGCTCAGTTGACCTGTGTGCGTATGATCTTGACAAAGGAATGTTTTGACAAATTTTAGGTTGAATAGTGCGAGCAATAAAATAAAATGGGATTAAAATGGTTGCCACTGTCGGAGAATACTGGGATAGCGGGTAAATGTCAGGGAATTTTATTAAGTCAGAAAAAACCTTGAAATGTCAGGGATAGTGATGAAAGTGTCTGGGAAAAATTGTTAAGTCACCTTTATTTGCTTTCCAAAGTGGGTTTGACTTTTCAAACAACAGATTTTGCGTGGATAATATTTCAAATACGGTCTTTTCAATCATCCGGCATATCTATAATCGTAAAGGAATCTCGCCAAAATATGTACTGGAAATCAGAGAAATTTCATGGTATTTCATTTCCTAAACTCTGTGGTGACCCTGGATTAAGGAGATTCCTAAACATCAAGTAAAAGGAATAGGGAATGTATTGCATGTGTACAAGGAGCGAGACATGTTTAGAAATGATGAGCTTGAAGTATTGGCAATCTTTTTAGTATCATACTGAGGCCTAAACCGAAGTAACCACGGGCGGTCCAAGTGCAAAGCTGCAGGATGAAGTGAAGCGCATTCTGAAACTAAAGTTCTTTTTTTAATATTTTGAGCAAGTTAGAGTTCTTAATATTTTGACTAGCTCTTCTCTAATACACAAATTGTATTCCCAGGTGATATTGGATGTATGGTGAATGGTGCTGGTTTGGCAATGGCAACGATGGATATCATCAAACTCCATGGTGGAAACCCAGCCAACTTCTTGGATGTTGGTGGTGGCGCAACTGCAACGCAGGTCAAAGAAGCTTTCAAAATCATCACAACAGATCCTAAAGTAAGGAGCTTAGCATTTGAATTCTATTCATCCTAAATATTTTGAGCTTTTATGAGGTCTGAAATAAAAGATTTTGATCAAAATGGGTCAGTTGCTCTGGAGATAGTAATGTTTTTGGTGGTTGATTCTCGTAGGTAAGCAAAAAATTAAGAGACTGGTTGAAAAACAAGGTTTCTACCCTGTGTATGATAAGTAGAGACCCCAGAAATTCGTTCGTGCGATTTTATGCTAATTTTCAGAAAGTCATTTGTAAACACTTAGACGAAGCTCAGAGGCATCATGGAATTCCGTTTATTTCGAAAATGTAATCGAAGATTTCGGCATTTAACGCGAATTCGCCAGTTTACACCACGAATTCGCGAAATTTAGACGTAATTTGCGCTGTTGCTGGAAAATTTGCGGAAAAATTATCTTTATTGTTTTCGGAGCGGCCGAACAGTCCAGTGGGCGGGACGCGGGAAACTTCGGTTTCCGTTGTCGACCAATGGTATATTTGTGCTTCATTTTGCTGTAAACCACTTCCACTACCAACCACTTTTTTCAAATTTAAAATAAGAGATGAAAAGAAAACACATATTTTTAGAAAGAACTTGGCAGTTACTAGCGAGAATTTTGAGATTTTTAGCCAGAATTTAGGTCATTATAAATCACGAGAAAATGGGGTCTCTAAATAGGAGATATCACAATTTTGGAAAACATGGTGGAATTTCCACCGCCTTTTCATGAAAGTATATTTTTGTTATTATTTTACCAAAATTGGATGGATCTCGTAACTTTTTGAAGATTATTAAGATTCAACGATCCGATCAATACTCTACCATAGCTAATCACCCTGTAATGCATTTGAATTTCTCATTAATTCTAGACAATGAACTTGTTTAGTAATTTTCAACTCCTGCTTTTTTGGAAACTAGAGATAGTGCCTAATTCACAGAAATTTTTCCTTTTTTTTTGAAAAATGTTAAGCCCGAATAAAGAGCTCAAAGTTCAGTATTTTGAGCTTCCATTTAAACGCGCCTTGCCTAGTCATCCAAGATGGCGGCTGCGGAAGTCCGCCAGAGAATGGCCACCCTGTTGATCTGGCCATGTGGTCGCGGCTAGTTACCTTACCTTCTTAGTCGATGGTTAACAATGTTTTGGGAGTTTCCTTGTGGGCACAAACCAAAGATTGAGATACTTGTTTGGCTCATTACGTCACCCGAAGATCATCATCTATCCAGTAGGTAAATCAATAGCCGAAAAAAGGGTGATGACTGTTGCCCCCTTAAAATTTTTCATAAGGAAAAGTTGAATCCCTGAACAAAAAAAACCTTCCAATGGGCCTGTTGCAAACTTTTGCCAGAGCAAAAATAAGAGTTGTTTCTCATAGATAATGCCTCAAAAATCACGATGAGCACATCGGCAAAGTCTGAAATGCACTCATAACTTCACAATCTGCGTAAGAAATTTGCGTTTTTTTAAGCTTCCCGCTTCAAAAACGATACTACGGCA